CCCTGGCGGCACAGATGCCCGCTCCCGCCACCCTGGCTGCCGTTCCCGGCGTTTCCAAAGGAGGGAGAGCGAGCCATTCCGCGGAGAGGCAGGGTGCCCGTTGGCAGCTGGTGACCGTGCTGCCAGTGGGCAAAACCTTTCTCTTCCAAGTGAAACCACCGTGTCTTGTCCGTGCTGCCCATGCCCCCAGCCTCCGCGCTCAGTACGGCTCGGAAGCGCCCTTCAACGCGGTCCACGGGAGCCGGGACGCCGAGGCCGCCCGCCGGGAGCTGGCCCTGCTCTTCCCCGGCTTCACGTCCGCAGAGCACGCCCCCGAGGCCTCTCCGGGTAAGCCCTCCAGGCAGGCTCGGTGTCCATTCGTCGCTAGTGAATATATGGGGGTGGGATGGAGGGGGTTGGGGGGGGGGCGGGTAGCAACCACACGGTAACCACGTTTCCAATCGGATGAGGTCCGGCTCAGACAGGAGCCGTTACAGCCGCAGCCGCAGTCCTCGCCTGCTGGGATGCGCGGAGTGAGAGCGCGGCTGTTCCATCGCATCCCATTTTCTTGCGGCATTCTTACTCTGGAGCCGTATTTTCATTGCCAAGTTTCTTTGCATTTTCCCATGGAAACCACCGGGAAGACAGAGCTTTCTGGAAGCCGACACCCAAGCCAGCACAGCGGCCAGATGTCATCCCCTCACTTTCCCCCGTTCTCTGCAGGCCTCACGCTAGGCCCTTGGTGAGGTGGCTGCGCGGAGGGTTACACAGAAGGGCCCTCTGTCACCCTCGTATCCCTCAGCCCCCACACTCTGGGAAAAGCAGACCGGGTCATCATCGCCTCCACATGTGGGTGAGAAACCTAAGACGTCCAGAGCGCACAGGACTTACCCCCTTCCACGCGCGGAGCCAGCCTGGCCCTGCTCCTGCTCCTGCGGTTCTAGTTTGAGCCTGAAGGGACCAGGGCGTGAATATCCTGGGAAAAGCAAAGGATGTGAGGTGGGGGGAGGGGATCCTCGGGAGAAGGCCCCATGCAGATCTGAAAGGGTGATAACCCGGGGGTGCCCAAATGTTTGGGTTTTAACTGATACATTACCTAAATGTTTGCTATGTTCCTCGTTTTCTCAAGATCTCAATGCAGCCAGGTAAGAGTAGGTGTTCTGAGGGCACGCTGAGTGGGCAGTGGATTCCAGAGAGTGGAGAAATCCTGTAAAATACCGAGTTCACACACCTGAGTGCGACTTGCGATTCCTCACGGCCACGGCCCTGTGGGAGGAGCTCTGGTGGTCCTTCGGGGCCGGCTTTCCTCTGACACCCGCCCTCAGAGCCCCAGGGTCATGGGACAGGGCCGTCCTTTTTGGAGCGGCCAACTGGAAACAAGCAGGTCTCCCTGGGTTCCAAGACTGAAGTATAAGGAGAGCGAATTGGCTGTGGAATACTCATTGGGGTCACTGGGGGGTGCTGGGAGATGACGAGGCTGACTTTTGGGCTTCACGTGATCCCTAAGTAAGGGGGTGGGGGTGGGGGTGGGGGAGAATTCCAGAAGGGCTGAGCCCAGACCACACCCCGGGAAAAAGTGCACAGCTTCCTGCGGGCATGGCTTTCTTTGCAGTCTCACAAGGTGCCGGTGTTCCGCCCATTTCTTGGCGTGTCCTGCTGTTTAGTTGTCAGGAGCAGAGTGTGCTTCCCACTTACCCAGCACTTTTTCTGCTAAGGGGCAGGGGTCAAGGCCACTGAAGACAGGCAATCCAGGGTCTGAGTCCTGGCTCCACTAGGTACCAGCTGAATAGCCTCTGGAAAATGATTTACCTTTTTGGTCCTCAGGTTCCTCATCTGTGGAATGGAGATAATGACAGACCCGTTTTAGCCCCATCCTAATACCTCTGCAATAAGGATCTTCCCCACAGGGCTGTTGTGAAGACGAAAGGAGACCATGGGTACTGGGTTCTTAGCCTGGTGCCTGACACATCCTAAGAGCTCATTCTCTTTCATCCCTGGTCCCTAACATACACATCAGGGCCTCTCTTGGGCATCCCTTCCACCCTGACTCCTAACTTTATTGTCTGATGATGTGGCTAGGACCCCCTTTCCTCTGTTTCTTGGTGGGACAGAGGACTGGGACAGGCTGTTTCGGGAACCCTACAGAGCACCTGTCGTCCCACAGAGCTGGAGGAAGGAGTGGTTCCGCCCTCCCCTGAGGATGTGCACTGAGACGGAGGGGCTGCCTCTGCACGTGACCCGGGCTCGGCCAGCGAGCGAAATGCCAGTGCCTTCCCATCCGCTGCGCAGAAGGAAAGCTCTAGTATCGGATCTTACTCTTGTGAGCTCCCATTTCTTTTAGTGTAGCTATCTTTCACGAATAATAAAATATAGTTTCCTGCCTTATTAAACAGTGTATAGTACATATACTTTGTGTGTGTGTGTGTGTGGCTATTTCTGGAATTTTACAAAATAAGCGGACATTAGTTGTACTCTGCTGTGTTGTCTCGGGGGGAATTTATTACTGGAATAAATCTACTTTATGAATTAAACAATTTCAGAGCTTAACTTGGTAACTATGCACCTGAAAGCAGTGCCACAGGCTGGGATATGACACTGCCGGGCCCACGGGCTTGGAGGCAGAGAGGGGAAGCCCAGGCTTACGGCCTCACGCCGCCTGTCCACGCCCCATGGGCAGTCCTGTACGCTGCAGGCCTGCCTCCGGGGCCTTAGTACACCGGGGCGCTCCTGAAGCAGTGCTTGGGGTCTCATTGGAGCCAGGATCATCGCATTTTCCTGACGCTCCCCTCCTCCACTTTTTCGCGTTAGATTCTGGTGGAAGCCTAATTTTAAAACCCGAGAGAGCTCCTGGTGGCTGTGGACCTGGTGGCCTCCAGCTTCCACAGAACTGCCTGACTTGGCCCTCCCTCCATGGCTGTGCCCTCGAGGGAAAGCAGCTTTCAGTAAAAAGGAACTATTAGCACCGCAGGACCATCAACATGCACAGCCACACCCTCTTACCAGTTTGCTCTTCGGTCTGCTTGGACATCCACTAAGCCCAGGCATCGTCCCTCCTCTCGGAGTGAGCAAAAGGCCGTGTTCTTGGCAACTCTGGGCCAACGCCAGCGATTTCCTTCTCATTTGCTGATTTTCTCCAGAGAACGTCGCTCCTCTGACTTGAAGTTCTTTAAACGGGCAGTTCGCACCCCAGAAGACTGCTCTCCGCGGGTGCATTGCCTTCTGCAGCCTCTGGCACAGGGCACATGTGCCGGCGCTGGGGGCAGAGGCTGAGCTGAGCTGCCTGCAAGTGGAGACCTGAGCCACCTCCCAATGGAAACGCTCTGTCCACTGTGCTCACCAGCGTCCGTGGGGAACCACGGGGCCCTCCCTGGCAGGGCACGTCAGGGAAGGTGAAGCCGCTGCTGCGGACGGCCGAACCCTTAGGCCGTCATGGGGATGCGCTCCTCCCTTTGGGAGCGGGCTCAAGAGGGGGACTCAGGTGCTCTGTGCCCACAGAGAGCTGGCCAGTGCCGTGGAGAGTCACCAGAGCCCTAGGCCTGGTCGTCCACACCGCCAGTGCTGTGCGACTCTGAACGAGCGGCTTGGGAGCACACCCACCCGACAGCTGTCTGATCTCCCCAGAAGCTGGGAAGCCAAGGATCGTCCGTCACTGGAGAGAGGAGAGGCGAGGAAGGAAGCAGGGGAGAGAGAAGAGCAGGCAAGAACTGAGCCTGGGTAGAGGAGGATATGTCGGTTCTGTGACCATCTTAAACCTTCCCAGGAAGTGGCTGGGAGTGGAAGGGTCGGGGGAGACATTGTGGGGGACAAAGAGGGGGGACCCTAGGTCACAGGGCCAGAGTGGAGGAATGTTGACACACCCTTCCTTTCTTTATACAGCAGGGCCTTTCCCCCCAGAATTAAGAAGGTTCGTGGCAGAGGAATGGAGTTGGTGGGAGATGGAGGAGAGAAGGGCCCAGAGCTTGGCTATAAAGTGTCAGCCACTCTCTGCGGGCAGAATTCCTTGGCCAAGATGGGGCCTGGCTTCCCGGCTTCCTCTGACAGAAGGAACCCTCCTGGGGCTGCAGGATGGCTGCTATCTGGGGTGTGAGTGCCTGAAAGGGTAGAGGGCAGCCCCAGCCCATGGAGTCAGAGGGAGGTTCCTCTCAGCAAGAGGGCTGAGTGCCTGGCAGACAAGGTCAGGAGCCGGGGATGCTGACAGAAGGGCAAAGGCAGGCGGCTCAAGTGGGCCCCATCTGGCCCTTGGGTTTGGGGTGTCCCTTAGCTTCCTCTGAAGCTAGGTCAGGGGTCAAAACTCCCCTCATGCTGGCAACTGACACGTGCCTCCTTGCCCAGCAATCAGGAGTCAGTGGAAAGGGGCAGGGCTGGGGCAGCACCAGCCTCTATCGCAGGTGGCAAGGGATCACGCCCTGTCGACTCTCCATCAGGATCTGGGGTCAGTCTCCCTTTCGACTCCTCTCTCAGACCTCAATTCCAAGTTCCCTCTGCGGTAGGGGAATTCCCTCCCCTGCCGATCACCTCCCCATCTTCCCCCCACGCTCTGGGGCAGGTGTCCTTGGCTTTCTTCCTGTTTCCAGTGAGACCAAGAGACAGGAGGTGCTTCTCTACATTCTAGAGGTGGGACAAGCACAGCCAGGGAGTGGCCTGCCTGTGGGTCCTTGCAGGGGGACAGCAGCGGCCCATGCACTGTGCAGCTGGTCATTTTCCAAGCGTTGGGCCCGAGTCCAGGTGGCACCCAAAGGGGAAGAGGATCGGACGGAGGGGGACACAACACTGGGGGGATCCTGTGGCTGGAAATGACCGCCTGTAAAGGGTCTGCTGGCCTTCAGGAGGCCAGGAGGAGAGGGGCCCCCAGAATGCTGCAGAGGCCCCTGGGAGCTGCAGTGACCCTCCGGCACCAGCCACACCCTCTGAAATGCGAAGTCACTTCCTGGTTTCTCACTCACCAAGTCCCAGGTTGCAGAAGCCAGTACATCTCCTAGCATTCTAGACATTTGGAAAACAGACTCCTTTATAGAAGTTGCCATGATCTTTCTTGGCTTTTATTAGCATGTGTTAAAATCATATCATTCAAACACTACCAGGAGAACACGTATTGTTCCACATAAAGTGCTCAAGGGGAAAAAATGCAACTCATTAAATTGGACATTCTTTTCTAGTTCATAGGTTTTGGGTTACAATCAGGGCACAAAAGGAGAAACAGAATGCAGTATTAGAGAGAGCGAGAAGCTTAGTTAAGAACTTGGGAGAAGACACAAGATCACATCCCATTCCTCCCACCTCTTGCTGACAGAACACTGCACCTGTGTAGAGCAGCGAACAGCTTTGTTTTAATAAATACATTTCCTTCATCGAAACCAGAAAAGTTAATCATAGTAAAGCACTTTTTTCTTTGATCATCGGTTTATAGCCACAGGCAAGATTTACCCACAGAGTTTAAGTGTGAAAGTGTTATTTCATTGGGCTGTTAGCTTCCTAATGCTATCTGGGTTCAAGATTGTCTCAGCAATTCGTTATTGGTTTCTGTATATTTACCTGGTACCTTTAAATACCAGCTCTACACTGTTTTGGGTTACAAGTGCCAAGCAAGGATGACCTCACATGAGCACTCTGACAGCTGCACAAAACCTAAGCGCCTGTTGGGACAGATGTTTAAATCAATGGTGTTCTGAGAACGGAACAACTTGGAAATCTCTGTGTTTGAATCTCGCGTGGTCAGGTTGAGAACAGGAAAAATGGCGTTAAATACATTTAAAAACATTCATCTGCAATCAAACACATCTGAATCTTCCAAGGAAGGTACAGGGTGGCGGTGGGTGCCCGCGATGTGTGCGACCACATCAGGAGTGGCTGGTGGGCTCGGACCCGGGGTGGCCTGCGCCCACGGCAAGCTTCTGGCCGCAGACTCCCTTCCTGGCCACAGTGCCTTTGACCGTCTTTTAACAAAGGGAAAGGAAGGCTGGTTCTACCTTCAGTCAAGAGCAATCTCAGTCGAGTACACTTGGAAGCTGGCCCGGCAGGCGGAGCAGAAGGACCAAGCACACTCGCTTGCGGAAAGGACTCCTCTTCGGTCCTCCCAGGGAGAGTCCCTTTCCTTCTAGCTTCAGTGTTTTGGGCTTCTTGCAGGAAAAGGTCTTGGCTGCATCTCTCACTAAAATTCCTATTTCATTTTACAAAAGGACACTCAATAGCAGTGTCGCGAAGAGAAGAACAGCTTCCCATGCTATCCTGCTCTTTGCTTTTTCCCTCAGATGGGTCTGAAGAGCATTCCGGAGTTTCACAGCGATGCGTGCTGCTTCAGGCAGCACAAGGTGACCAGACTTTGTTTCCAGGAAGCGATGAGCTACTTTAGCCTGAGCTGGTTCAAATCCTGCCAGACACTGCTGCACCAACGGCAGGGCTGAGGGCAGCTGGGAGGCACTCCGTGCCCAGTTCCTGCCAAGGGCAGCCCAGAGTTATGGCTGGGCTTCCACTATCAGTAGTTATGTTTCCCTTGGATGTTTCAAAAACCTATGGTGACTCTGTCCCCTCACTCTCCTTCACCCTGTCCATCTGACCTGGAAGTCTGAGAGCTTATTGAATTAGGCTGATATTGACGGCAGTAAGATGCTAGCTCACTATTTTGCACAGCACCATATATCGTGCCTGTTATTCAGGCCAACTATAGCCAATCTTTTCTTTCTTTTTTTTTTTTTTCTTTGTTCTTTTATAAAGAAAATCTATGTAAGTTGAGGTTCAGAAATGCATATATATATTTTTTTACTTACAAATATTCATCTGATCAAAATTCAACATAACCTTTATGGAACACTTAACAATTGTTTTGTTTTTAAAATAACATTTCATTCAAACTGTATATAATTCAGTAAAGTTATTTTATACAGCAAGCAATGCTTAAACCCTGGAAAATCTGTAGAAAAGAGATTTTCACACAAAATAAGAAAAGAAAATTTTGAGGTATCCCCCCCCACACACACCCATTCACCGTGACTCATGTGCGCACACACACATACACATACATTTGTGTATGCACAGACACACTCATTCTCACTCACAAAGTGGCTGCAGCATAGGCAAAAAATTGTAGGTCCAAAGGAAAATGATTGATTGTTCTAATAAAGAGTCCAGGTAGCTCAGAAAAAACCCCCAAAACAAAACACAATAGTCCTCTGAGGAAATTACTACCTCGAAAATATGTTCTCAAGATGAAATTGAGATCTAAGCCTACCAAATTGCTTTTGCAAAACAGCTCCCTGCAGTCCAAGGTGACGTGTGCAAACAGAAGGAATCAAATGAGGCTAGTTTCTGTACTTCCTTTACCGAGGATGTGGGATGCTCGCGGGTGCCCCAGCTGCTCCCGTCACGCCAGGTACTGCTGCAGCGCCGTCTTGGCCCTGAAATCACAAGGTTCCTGTTAGCCAGCATCTCAGAAGTATTAATAAGGGGGAAAGCCTGCGGCTCAAAGATGGTATGAGGGAAGTCTAAAATGTTCGATTCCCCAAAGGGGACTGGGTGAGCCCCGCTGGGCACCTGCCCGCAGGGCAGAATTCTGCAGTCAGAAGACACTTCCAAGCCAGGCTGGCTCCATTCCTCTCCTGTGGCTCCCTCACACAGGGCTGCTCTAGCCCTTACGGCTGCTGCAGCCCAGTGACAGTCTATAGTTCTCCTTGCCACTGGCACAGAGTTGCCTGGGACCTGGAATCATGTTCTATTGCCATGCAGGTTTTACTCAGCGCCACAGGACACTGGGGAGGAAGCTTAGGGTTTTGGAAACTAAAATTGACCCAGGAAGGTGTTTAGGTGCTGACTAAAGGTGCACAGAAGGCGCCAGGACGCTGTCATGGTTCCTGTGCCTCAGAACAGGTTACAAGCTCATCTACTTCTTCCCCTAATGACACTGACAATGTGGGATGTACGTTTATTATGATTGGGAAAGAAGGCAACTAGTTGGAGAGGAAAAGATGCAATGTGGGCAGCGACTTGACCTATCCTGATCCTGGTAAAGGTGTCTTCCTTTGAGCTAGAACTGAGGAGGCCTCCTTCACCGCTCCTGTTATGAGCTTGTGGGAGTTAGGAAGTCAGGTTTTAGCAATGGTCTTCCCTTCTACGCTAATGGAGGAAAGGCTAACATTTTCAGTTCCTATTGGCTGATGAAAGTATACCACGTAGGCGAGGCATGCAATAAGCTGGCCTCACGTGCAGTTTCTATATAGCAAAGTAACAGATATAATCTACAGTTTTAAAAGTGGCATACTAAGGGATATTCTTGTAATTATCTAAGACTCTATAAAGATGATAGTTACAAATAGACCAACACTTCGGAACAGAAAGCTCTATTCAAACTGTCTCTAAGTTATAAGTTGAGTTCTACAAGGAAAATTTCCTTCAGAAACAGGGGTATGGCTGCTACTACAGCCTACCTCTGAGTGAGCGTATTTTTATGCACAGCCCCACTCTTCCAAGGTCCTCGTTTATCTAACAGGCACCGCAAAGTGGGCTCGCCCAAACAAGAACTTTTTATCTCCCTGTCCCTACCCACTTCGCTCACTTCTTCACCATCTTGGTCAATGACAACCCACTATACAGTTGCTTCAGGCTAAAACTCTAGGCAGTTTCTTGTTCTCTCTTTCCTGTTGGTACCTTTAGATTAAGTCCTGAATCAGACCACTTCTCAATACTTCTACCACTACCACCCCCATCTCTTATGCACAGGCCAACAGCCTTTAACTAGTCTCCCTGTTTCAATTTTTGCTCTATCCAGACGATTCTGTCCACAGCCACCAGAATGATCTTCTAAAAATTCAAATCAGATGATGTCTGTTTTGCTCAAAACTCTCCAATAAACTCTGAGTGAAATCCAAAGGCCTTACTATTGGCTGCAAGGCTCTTCACGTGCTCCCCACCTCCTCCCTGAGCCCCCTTCTATCTCTCTCCCCCGGTTTCGTTTCCTCCAACCCCAGTGGTCTTCCTGCTACTCCTTGAACATGTCAAGCTCATTACTGCCTCAGGTTCTGCCCCTCTGCCTGGAACACTCTTCCTCTGAACATCTGCCTGGCAGACTCACTTCATCCAGGCCTTTGATCAAATGTCACATTTTCAGAGAGGCCTTATTGACTAATCTGTATGAAAATAAATTTTCTTACTCTCCAGTCCCTCAACTTGCTTTTTGTTTGTAGTAAATCTCATTTCCTGCTCTTATATTCCATATTTGTTTGCTTACTGTCTGTCTTCTGTGCTAGAATGTAAGTGCCATGAAAGTAAGGACTTCACTGATTTTATTCACCGTTATATCACCAATGCCTAAAACAGTGCCTGGCAGAGGTTAGTATTAACAAACAAGCTACTGCTGAATGAATAAGGGTTCAGAAGAGAGGAGACTGAAATGGTGAATCAAGATGAACATGAAGATGTGATACTGGACTGGGTAGGTAGGGTGGGCATGGGATTGGAGGGAGGACGTAGAGGATGAGAAAGGCAGGGCCAAGCCAGGAAGGGCTTAGGTTGTGCTTAAGAATCTGGAGATGAGAGCTGATGTGCATTGCTGTAGTCATGGTTATACACGGAAGTGAGCTGAGAAGTGAAGGCTGCATGATAAGGGAGTAGGAAGACACAGCTAGGAAAAACACTTTTGACCATTTTGAGGCTAGAGGGATCTCTGATTATGATTCCTGCCTCTCCCAAGAGAGGGTGAGCTCTTTGACAACAGGGACTCCTCAGTGGTCTCTGCCGCCTCCCCAGTAGCCAGGCCAGGCAGGCAAAAGGCAGTGCTCAGGGAGGTTTGGAGGCAATGTTTCATTAATGAATGCCTTCCTTTCTGAAAGCCACATGCATTTCTAGTCTAATGATTAAAGGAATGTAAGGAATGGCCTCTGAATCTTTTCTAGATACCCACTAAGACAGCCCAGACTCATGTTAATTCAGAGAAAGATGAGGATCTTTATTAATTTGCTAATGATTAGTTTAACTAGTGATCTCAAATGTTACACAGTTGGCTCACAGAAAATTAAAAAGGGAATCCAAGAATCTAAAAGGTTTTAAGTTTGGCCATGTTAATTGCTAAGCAATTCAAATTCTTCAAGTACCCCAAAGCAGGCCCTTTCGATACTCACTTGTCACAAAGGTTTGAATCTGGTGACTGACTCAGTTTGTGTAGAATATCTACAATGCCCATGTCTCGTAATTTATCCTGGCGTTCTTGTGAACCTAAGAGATTAAAGCTAACAGGTTACTGGCACATGACCCAGAGAGTTGCTCACCTTAGTGTACAATCAACAACCTGAAGCCTGACTTTACCGGAGTTCTTCACTGTCCTCCCCCTTTCCCTTGGCCTCCTCTCTCCCTGTGTATGGACGCCCTCTGGCTCGCATCCTCCAACAGACTTCTAACTGGTTTCCCTGCCTCTCACCCTCCTTCCTGCAGTCATTCCTGAGGTCTGCTCCTCAGCTAGCTTCTCCATGGACCAGGTCAGCTTCTACCGCCTGGCACCAGGCCCTCTGTCATCAGGCCCCAGCTTCCCTTCTTTCCGGACACACCAAGCCAGGCTCTTCCTACCCCCAACAGGTCTTGTCTCCTCTTCCTGTTCTCTTCCACCCTCCACTGCTCTCCCAGCACTTCCTGCTGCCTCTCGTCAGCATGTGATAGTTCCAACTTCACACCGCTCTGTTCTAGCTTCCAACCAGACTAGGACCTCCTGAGGGCAGCCTTGTTTCCCTGGCACCAGACTTGGATTCTAGGGTCTGTACGTTGTTGAATCGTTTCTCCTCCTTCTGCTTTGTTCTGGATACAGCAGCTGAGCAGAGTAATCAGCTGGAGTCCTTCCTTCCCACCGAAGAGCTTCGTTGACTCACTTTTGCACTGACCCCATCTATAATAGACCCAGTAAACCAGAATATCTAGGGATGGAGCCCAGAAATTTGCATCTTCAAAAGTTCCCCAGGGGAGTTTTAGGCAGCCAACCCAGCAATGAGACCTAGTGCTACTGCATTGGGGGAGTTGGAATCATCTGGGGAGTTTTAAAAACTCTTGCCTGCAGCCCACGCCTCCGGATTCTGATGTAATCAGTCTGTGCAAACTTCCCAGAGGTTTTAGTCGACAGCCAAGGTGGAGGACCTCCTGACAGACTGCCTGCTTCACAGTCACACATACTTTTCATTTCTCACCAATGCACCCCCTTCTCCATTAAGCTGATGTGCCCATAGTCCTTACTGGCATTCCTCTGCAACAGTGAAAGGCCTGTCCTTCCACTCACTCCCACCTCTCCTCTTCTTCCAGTGCCTCTCACTGCCTCCTCAGCTCTCTCAGGGCAGGGACTGTCATCTACTTCTAGTGTTGACTCCAAGGTGGGGGCTCAGTGTTAACTGTCCAGCTGACTCAGGCTAGTCCCACAGCTTCTCAGGGCGACACTGTTCGGACCCAGTGAGCAGTGCCTCAACCCAGGATCTCAGGGGCGCCTGCTGCCTTCCCTGAGTGGGACTTCCCTCCCATCATTTCAGAACAAATCTCACCGATCTCTTACCTTCCTCTTCATTCCATATGAGGTTTGATATACAAAACATCGCCGCAAGCTGCAGCTTGATATGTGAATGACCCTATTTGATGCAGAAAAGGAAAATAAAAATGGAGGTAATCTCATTTTAGACCATCTTTTTGTGACATACTACAAGCAACCCCAACAGCCTAAAGGTTTTAAGCAAGGACTTCAAATTCAAGTGTCTTGAGGGGTCACAAAGTTAGCACTAATGGGTGAATGGACTGGACTAAAGACAATAAAAAATGGTGGAGAGCCGAAACCGGTTTGACTCAGTGGTAGAGCATCGGTCTGGGAACTGAAAGGTCCCAGGTTTGATTCTGGTCAAGGGCATGTACATTGGTTGCGGGCACATCCCCGGTAGGGGGTGTGCAAGAGGCAGCTGGTCAATGTTTCTCTCTCATCGATGTTTCTAGCTTTCTATCTCTCTCCCTTCCTCTCTGTAAAATATCAATAAAATATATTTTTTTAAAAATGGTGGAGAATCTGGCAAACGGGGAAAACCTTGCCAAAACACTCAAATTCCAATTTCAGACATCCTCAGGTTGGCCACACAAAGCACCTCCAGGGCCATTGGTGCCATTTGTAATTTATCCTTTATTCCACACTGACATGACAATTCTGTGCTTTAGATTAAGCTACGCCTTAGTCCTATTAGAAAACTTTCAGGCCACTAGCGGCCAACAAACTGGATGGATGTGCATTTGGTATTTCTCTCTGCAGCTGCTGATAATCTGATTCAAATTACTCTCATTTTTGTAGGAACATCTCCAAAAACTTGACTCTATTTGGTTTACCTTGAATGTCTCCTATTGTTAAGGAGCCACCTATTTGTCTGAAACACAATTCTATTTATTTTTTTTTATGTACTGAAAGTACAACCATTTGGATCATTTATCATTTATGCTTTCTCCTAAATGAAAAAGGGCCCAATGGTTGAATGGTCTTTACAAGTGGTTTTCCTCATGGTGTAAAAAAAACCACCAAACACACACACACACACACACACACACACACACCCCAGTACATTGAAATAATTTATTCATATCTGAGAAATGCCAGTGATATATGCTAGGACAGACTTATCTGACCATGCAGGACTCTCTCTCTAATAAACAGAGACAAAGAAATGGATGTGGCTTCCTCAATTACATTCTATGATTGGTGATTCTTTTCTCCTTCTACAAGCCAAGACTTTTTTTTTAGGAGCTGTCTAGCTAGGGCTCCATTGAGACAGACAAAACAAAATTTATCATCTGCTCCTACCCTCAGGCTGTATTTGTTGAATGAATGAATTTGTAGACAGTACAACAATAAGCATTTACTATGTGTAAGTTCATCATTCATGCAAATAAATATGTTTTGAGAAACAAATTGCTGTGATAGAGAAAAGTGGAAGGTGGAGGGGTAGGAACCTAATTTAGGTAGAGTGCACAGAAAAGATCTCTTTGAAGGAGGCGGCATTTAAGCAGAGACTCGAAGACAATGCCAGTTGTACAAAGAGGTAGGGATTAGGGGTTTTGAGAGAAAGGGGAAGTTCCTGAAAAGGTCTGCGGTACGAAGGAGCTGTATAGCTTGTGTGAACTGAGAAAGACAAGTCAGGTCATGTGGGACTTCACAGGCTATCATAAGGAGGATGGATTTTATTTAAGGTGTAACAGGGATTTTGGCTTCTTTTCTCTTAATAAAACAAAAAGTGAGGTCATCACTCCTAGTGATGGGCAGAAGGGATGAGGTTTAAAGAATGGAAGGCAAGAATCTATTTTTGTGGAGAATGAGGGTGTTGGGCTAGCAGGTTTGGCTCAGTGGCTAAAGCCTTGGCCCACACACTGAAGGGTCCTGGGTTTGATTCTAGTCAAGGGCATATACCTTGGTTGCAGGCTTGAGGAAACTGATCAATGTTCCTCTCTCTGTCTGTCCCCTCTCTCTAAAAAGCAATGAGAATTTTTTTATTTTATTTTATTCTTTTTAAAGAGAGAATAGGGTGCCAGCTTGCTGGAGAACCACAGGAGGGTACTAGGCAGTACTGAGCGCCTATCTGGGTTCTGGAATGAATTTAACAAGAAACCAGCCAGCCTAGTTCTGTGCCATTCTCTACAGCTGTCAGCTCTGACATGGCAGGCAAAGAGAACACCGGGGCTCCCATGTTTAAGGTTCTGCAAGAAGACAATAACAGTGAAAAGAGCGAGAATGTTTGATAGCCACTTTTTGGCAACAGGCAGTTTCTGGCGGTAAGATCCAGGGCATCGTCATGAGAGGGATGATGGCTGAAATGTTTGGAAGCAGTTGGCAGATTGTGTATGAAAGTAAACGGACCAGCCCTAATTGGTTTGACTCAGTGGATAGAGCGTCAGCCTGTGGACTGAAGGGTCACAGGTTCGATTCCGGTCAAGGGCCTGTACCTTGGTTGTGGGCACATCCCAGGTGGGGGGGCTGTGCAGAAGGCAGCTGATCGATGTTTATAACTCTCTATCCCTCTCCCTTCCTCTCTGTAAAAAATCAATAAAATATATTTAAACACACACACACACACACACACACACACACACACACACCCCACAGAAAGTAAGTGGATCAAAGAGAGCTAAGGCGATCCTCCACATAGCCTTGAGGGAGGGCAGGGACTGGGAACGCTGAGAGCCAAATGCTCAGGTCTTCACTGAATAAGAGGGAGGTAATCAGATGACAAGGGTAGGGACTGGGGTGATGTATCGTAACCCTGCCAAGGGCACAGCTTCTAGGACCTGCTGTTGTTGCTTCTTCTTCAGGACAGAAGAGAGTTCCTGCATCTGTTCGAAGTCCCTGCTTCTCATGTGTGGCTAGTGCAGAGCAGTGAAAGGAGACAAAGGCCTACCATGTAATACTTGATTTTCTGCAGGATGTCATCATTGGTCATAATGAGTTCTTTTGCCGTTGTGCCATCTGCGATGTTGGCTAGGATGCACAGTGTCTGGAAAGAACAAAGGTCAGTGATCAGGAGAACGCTAAAGCCCCATACTGAGCTCTCTCAAGTTGGGATTTTCTCAGTTTCCACTTTGAATGTCTTGATTTCTCACTCCCTGGCCTCACTGCCAACCAGCCCAAGGAATCCAAACATTTCAGTGGTTTCTTTCCGGGCATAAACCATCGCTGGGCAAAGGCAGGCATGTCTTATAGTTCATGCTATCACATAAATGAAAGGGAAAACATAATTTAATATTTTCTTGAAAACCCCATTTCTGAGAGAAGCTCATGTTACCCTACAAGGTTTCCTCAAAGGGGTCGCCTCTTTGGTGGTAGCTTCAGAAGTGTTGCAGGTTCCCTCCCTCTCTCCAAATGTTCACAAGCGAATGACCTTCTGGGTGAAGGCCTGAGCCCTGTCCACTAGCCATGTGCAATTAGAACCCAAACTTTTTTGAAACCTACTAGAGGAACACAAAGGGAAACAAATGTGGATTAAAGTTGGAGAAAATTACCTTCACTTCTCTTCACTTTGAGTGATTCCTGACTGACTGTGCTCCTGGACTCAGTGTCATTCCCTCCAAGAAGCATTCCCTGCCTTGTTGGCATAGAGTGTCGGCGCTCAGAATGAAGGGTCTCGGGTTTGATTCCAGTCAAAGGCACACCCCTTAGTGCACAGGACCAACCAGCCAGGGCCAAGGGGGAAGAATTCAAACCTTTCTTGGAAAAATCGGAAGATATTCCTCAAAGAAAGGGAACACCTACCTGTTCTTTGACTTCAATGTTATGCTCCCCTTCCAGAATAAGAGTGACGGCTTGCATAATCTGCTTTCCGTGGGTGCTCATGATTTTATCTATATGCTGCAAAACAATGGGAAATCCACAATTATCACTTGGGGGCCAAAGAAAAAAATCCCACAGGAGAGAACAGAGGCTTCTAAATATACAACTATACTTCAAAGAGAACAACATAGCATATAGAACTAGATGTCAAAGAATCGTGTTTGAAACTGCATTTTGCCTTCAACAGTTTTTTTTTTTTAAGACTTTAGGATGAAAAGAGAGTAGACTTGGCTTGACAAAATATGGAATTATAATCACATGGGATCATCAAATGCAAATATATTAAAGAAAAAGTAGACACATAAAAATGGGTGAGGGAGATGTGGAAGCCAGAGATGTGGCAATCTTTGAGCATAAATGTATAAAGAAGACTAAAAAGACAAATAAAATATAAATAATAATGCATAATATGTAAGATATATTTTTATATAAATAAGAAGATTATGACCATAGATACAGAGACAGTTTGGTGGTAGGCAGAGGGTAGGGAGAAAAGGGTAAACTGGTGTTTTTCTTTTTAATAAATTGAATAAAAACAAGTGAGGCACAGAGAAGAAAACCATGCTTTTTCATCTACGTGAAAGGCCCCTGTCAATGTTGCTCAGGGACCATTAAGAACAATGAAAGGGCCCCTAGAGCGAGGCTCAGCTTCTCCTGCTCTGACATATATCCACTGCTCTCCACACCGACATCTTCAGCGATCAGTCCACTAACTGTGGGCCGGGTGAGTGGGGGTGTCTGTCTCTGGAATGGCCCTAAGAGGATTCTCTAAAGTGAAAGGATCAGAAGTCTCAGAGATAATTCCTTAGGCTGGTAAGAAAACCCAGCAAACAGGTAAGAATAAAGTAACCAATTAAGATAAGCTCATATGCAGGAAGGTGGAAGGAGAGAGAGACAGGACAGGCAGTGAAGGAATGCAGAGTCAGGTGGCCATAAATGGTGAAGCGGCTTCCACACCTATGAAGATGTTCAACTCCTAGCTTCTCTGGGCAGAAGCAGTTTTTCAATCACACTTGTGGGTAGATGTTGCTGGGAGAGGAGGGGAGGGCGATGTTTTGCGATCGTATGCAGAGGTAGCTAAGCTGGAAGCCCGGGTGATTTTACTTACAGGCCGAGTAGAGAGGAGATTTCTAAGAAGCCCCAATGTTTTCATCAGCACATTCAAATCTGAATCCGATAATAACCGGAATAGCTGCTCGGTACTCAAGCTTCGTAAAATATCTGCTTTTATTTTTTGTTCAGCCTGAAATGCCATATTCTGAAAGGATTAAAGAAATTTCAAGAATCATGTCTACATTTGCTTTATTAAATTATATATATATATATATATATATATATATATATATATATTTTTTTTTTTTTAATATATTTTATTGATTTTGTACAGAGAGGAAGGGAGAGAGATAGAGAGTTAGAAACATCAATGAGAGAGTCATCGATCAGCTGCCTCTTGCACACCCCCTACTGGGGATATGCCCACAACCAAGGTACATGCCCTTGACCGGAATCGAACCCGGGACCCTTCAGTCCCCAAGCCGATGCTCTATCCATTGAGCCAAACCGGTCTCGGCTAAATTATATTTTTAATAGTAACTCCGGCCCTAGCTGGTTTGGCTCAGTGGATAGAGCATCGGACTACGGACTGAGGGTTCCAGGTTCAATTCTGGTCAGGGGCACATGCCTGGGTTGTGGGCTTGATCCCCAGTTGGGGGCATGCAGGAGGCGGCTGACTTTTCATTCTCTCTCAACACTGATGTTTCTCTCTCTCTCCCTCTCCCTTCCTCTCTGAAATCAATAAAAATATTTTTTTTAAAAAATAGTAACTGATTATTTTCAAAGTACTAATAGAATCTGTAAAAAAAAAAAAAATCCTTAATTATGTCACATTATTTTTCTGATTCCTGTTAATTATATTCTGTCTGTCAAAAGAAAGATACTGTCACTTCTATATATATTCCTTTATTATAGTAATATGATGACTTTCTGACACAGGCAGTTGAGTATCTTTAAGATTTCTCAAATAAATACAAAATTCATTATTACTTTTGAGAATATCCTTATGATTATCACATTGCCTTCTGTGTACTTTAATAACAAAATGACTATTAACAACTATACTGTGCCGAAAACGGTTTGGCTCAGTGGTTAGAGCATCGGACTGTGGACTGAAAGGTCCTGGGTTCGATTTCGGTCAAGGGCACGTACCTTGGTTGTGGGCACATCCCCGGTGGGGGGTGTGCAAGAGGCAGCTGGTCGATGTTTCTCTCTCATCGACATTTCTAACTCTCTACCCCTCTCAATTCCTCTGTGTAAAATCAATAAAATATATTTAAAAAAAATAGTCAGAGTTCATGAGGGCTGGTATATGTTCATATATTTAAAAAAATTAAAAAAAAAACACAAAAAAATAACAACTATATTGTGCTATGCATTTTGAAAATGACTTAAAAGTATTTGTTTATTATGTATAACCAATGGACACACATAATATTATAGTATGGTGAAGGCCTGGGGTGGGGCAGGAGCTGGAAACAGGGGAATAAAGAGAAAGGGACATCTGTGATACTGTCAACAATAAAATAAATTAAAAATACCAAAAGTTATTAAAATTAAAATTAAAAACAGAACAAAACAAAAACACAAAAGTGCTTTGTAAAGTAGGTGGCTCTGTCCTAATGGGTTTTTCTCAAAGGCTAGAGCACTGGCCCTCAGATTGAAGGGTCCCAGGTTCAATCCCCAGCTCTCAGTCGTGGGGGCATGCAGGAGGCAACCAACTGATAGGTCTCTCTCAGATTGATGTTTCTCTCTCTCTGTCTCTCCCTTCCCCTTTCACTCTCTCTAAAAATCAATGAAAAAATATCCTAGGGTTAGGATTAACAAAAATATAAAAAAGGTAGCTCTATACAGATATCAATATGTTCATAATGAAGAAAATTTTTTTCCAAAATGAGTTTAAGTCAAGTTTCAACATCTGTCCACTTTTCTCATTAATAGAATAAAGGCACACAATGGCCAAGCAACTTGCTTATGTTTAAATCTGAAAACTGCCCTAACTGGTTTGGCTCAGTGGATAGAGTGTCAGCTTGCGGACCCAAGGGTCCCAGGCTCGATACCAGTCAAGGACATGTACTTTGGTTGCAGGCACATCCCCAGTAGGGGGTGTACAGGAGGCAGCTGACTGATGTTTTCTCTCATTGATGTTTCTAACTCTCCCTCTCCCTTCCTCTCTGTTAAAAATCAATGAAATATTTTTTTAAAAAATAAAAAATAACATATCTGAAAGCTGAATATGGTGTCTGCTAGGTCATAGGTCTTTAGAAAACTGAGACTAACCAAAGAATTTATATGCATATATGAACAGCCCATAGACACAGACAACAGTGTGGTGAAGGCCTTGGGTAGGTTGGGAATTGGAGGGAGGGGGCAAAGAGGGGAAATAGGGATATTTGTAATACTGTCAACAACTAAAGATAACCAACTAAAAGTAAATAAATAATGAATGAAAGAAAACTAGGCTAAAATAGATAAGTTTTGTGTGTTTTTTTAAGAGAAAACTCCACATTTCAAATAGTACATTTTTTAGTTTTAACTTTGAAAATAGCTCTATTCTCTTTGTAAATGATGATATACATAAAAGAGTGAAACGTACCATAAGAGCCCAAATTCCATTCACTCGTAAAGCAGGGTTTTCACTTTGTGTTAATCCACAAAGTAGCTCTACAGCTCCTGATTCTAATATTGGCTGCCGTTGGAAAGGGGGGAAAGCACAGGCTTTAAGTCAGGTTTGTGAACGAAATGTGTACATACCCTGGCACTCTGCTTATGATTTTGTTTGCACTCTTACCCAAGTCCAAGCAACTTTCACAGAGCAGGGAGTGAGGTGGCCATAAAAATCACCTTGAGAAGGGCAAGGACAATTATTCTCTCTCAAATCTAAAAACACAAACAATCCCTGTCATTTCCTGTTTTTCTGGTAGTCCTGAAAGACTCAGGAGATATCCTTCAATCTGTACATTTCACACACACACATGACTCCATTACCTAGTTCCACAGGCTCAGTCTCACCATCCTCTGAGAGTTTTGTGTAGGCATAGATCTCACTATCTCATGTGTTGTTTCCAAGCTGACTATGAAGCGATAGGCTGATTTATAATGGAACCTAAGATAAATTATCCTCCTTCCAAATTATCAATCTTATTCCAAACAGAATTCATCTTTTAGAACTACTACTTTCAGGACTATTTCTCAGTGATACAAGCAAAATAAGTCTTGTACTTACAGTCATACTATGTTTTATACCTAAAATAGCACACTTTTAGCCTGCTCACTTAATTTATGATACTTAGCTAAAAATGGGTTTTAATTTTATAAAAATTCAAATCCCAGCCGAAACTGGTTTGGCTTGGTGGATAGAGCATTGGCCTGCATACTGAAAGGTCCCAGGTTTGATTCTGGTCAAGGGCATGTGCCTTGGTTTTGGGCACATCCTCAGTAGGGTATCTGTAAGAGGCAGCTGATCAATGTTTCTCTCTCATCGATGTTTCTAACTCTCTATCCCTTTCTCTTCCTCTCTGTAAAAAATCAATAAAATATATATTTTTAAAAATTCAAATCCTAAAGGACTGATTTACTATCACCAATGAATGCTTAAAAGGCCATCTTTAAAGTGCATTCTAGAAATGGCTTAAGCAATTGAATTTATATGCCAAGAAATAGAGCAGTGCCTTTCATTATGACATTTTTGAAGGACACACATTCCTCTACAAATTGTGGTATTTTTTAAAAAAACACTTTATTTTCAACTAAGTTCAAACTTATAAAGTAACAAGATTAATACATGGAACTTACATATGTTCTTTTCTCAGATTAACCAACTTTTAACATTTTGCCATATTATTTTGCTTAATCACGACCTCTTTTCATTCTATACACCCATATTTGTGTTTTTAAATCTTTTCTGAACCACTTGAAAGGAGAATGCATACATCATGCCTCTTTACCATTACTACTTCAGTGTTTACTCTAAGAACAAGGATGTTCTCTTAGAGAACAGAGCTGCAGAACAATCACCGAATTCAGAGAAGTTACCACCAAAACAATATTTTTATTGAATACTGAGTATTTATAGTCCATATTCCAATTTTGTCACCTGGTCCAATAATGCTCTTATTACACTTCCTTACCTTCCAGCTCAAGATCCAGTTTATTACTTATTGAAATATAATTGACATACATTAAATTAGTTTCAGGTATAAAACATTACTCAATGTAAGCATGTATTACAAAATGATTATCACAATAAGTCTAGCTAAAATTAACCATCACTCATAGTTACAATTTTGTCCCTTGTGATGAGAACTTTTAAGATCTACTCTCTTAGCAACTTTCAAATGTATAAGACAGTGCTAACTATAGTCCAGTTTGTTTTTAATATGGAAACCAGCTGTTTTAGTGATCCCATCCCCAAGCCCATCTACCTTCCTGCATAACCAAACCCTAAATATGCTGAAGGTGGATCTGAGGCCTCACAACAGCTATGCAGGATGACTAACGGTGTCACACTGACTGCAACCAGACCGTCATCCGACCCAGATCCGCGCCACCAGGGCAGAGAACTGATGGAAGTCCTGGCATCTCATCTCGCCTTTGTCATCCTTCAGAATAACTGCCAGTCTCTCCCCTTTTGTTCCAAAATTATCGCTGGTAAGTAACTGTCTCTGAACCTCCACCTTGTTACTAAAGCCTTCCTAATTACCAGTCAGAAGCCTGTAGCTATTACATTGCAGACAAATAGTTCAACCAAACTGGGTCCACTAAATGCAAAATAAAGGGCAGTGTCTAAACCTCAGTTCATGACTGGCAGACCAGATATTTTAACATGATAAAATTATCTGGATAAGGTTTTCTCCTTCCTCTATTAAAGTTGATTTTAATTTTCCCTATAGAAATAATACATGCTCAAATAATTTATAAAATGCATAAAACAGGGGAAAAATATATACACATGTAATCCTTCCTCAAACAACTACCATTAACACTAAACACCAAAAAGATTATTTTCTGGCCCTGGCCGATTTTTCTCAGTGGTTAGAGCATTGGCTCTAGGATTGAAGGGTTACAGGTTCTATTCTGGTCAAGGGCACATACCTCAGTTGCAGGTTCAGTTGGGGTAAGAGCAAGAGGCAACCAATCAATGTGTGTGTCTCTCTTTCACATTGATGTTTCTCTCCCCCCCACCACCTCCCCCCACTCTTTCTAAAAATCAAGGGAAAAACACCCTCATTCCTAAGAGGTGAGGATTAAAAATAAAAATAAAATAAAATAAATTATATATATATATATTATTTTCTGATGCCAGCAGAAATTACTTATAATCCTAGTTTTACAAAATTGTCTTAATTTATTCCTTAGTAATGATAGTTTGAAAATAGTCTATTATTTGTGTATTATTTCTTACGTTTATAGGCAGTTTAGAGGGAATGCAAATTATAATATCTTTTAAATAATCTGAATATGCAAGGCAGAATAAAAGGGATAACAGAAAATTAAAACAATCATATTTAAAAATGATTTTGCTACCTTCCTTCTTGCAGCATCAAAAGTAGCTTTTAAAACTAGTCTTCAAATTTCAATGTCAACTACGACGGAAGTTATTTGACTAAGCCCCTGGTAGGACCAGGCAAAGTCTAGGAAGAGAAAATCAATACTAACCTCTTTGCTTGGAGAAAATTCAAGAAGAAGATTACATAGCATGGAAGATGCTACTACTAAGATTTCGTCGGGTGCATTTTGCAAAACCTAGGGAATTAAAAAAAGGGGTACTATTAATGGTTTGGAAAGAAACATGGAGGTGAGATCATAAGAATGAGGAAAAAAACAATTTGTCTTTCATCCTGATTTCTCCTATTTGAGAGCTGGTTAGGAAAGATGGACCTGATATTGTGTGAACCTTTATCTAGTGCTATAATTCTGACTGCGGCCCTCACGCTGTCTTCCCGGACAAGCTACAGCCCCACTGCCAGGGTGGGAGTTGCTGTGCAAAGAAGACAGACAAGGCAGGGAGGGGTGCCCCATGTAAAGGTTTAAAGATGGGGGGACTGCTTTGGGGAAAGTTGGCACTTTCTACTTCATTAAGTTGGGCCACTTATGAAACCCAAAACTTCACTAGGGCCCAAGCTTTGTGATGTGTCCCTAGTAGAACATGTCTGACCAGGAGCACAGGTGGACTAAGCTGCTGCACAGGCCAGGTAAGGCGGGGATGGAATCACATAGCCCTGGTTCCGACTCGGACTCCTCCACTTACGAGATGTGTGTACCTTAACCTCTCTGAGTCTTTGAGTTGAGGAATTAAAGAAAACAACACTTTGTTTATAGGACTGTTTAGGAAGGAATGTGATATAGTGAATAATAAGGGAAGCATATGGCAAAAAGTTAAGAACATAGACTGCCTGAGTGAAATTTTCAGCCCAACCACTGAATGGGTATATGAATTCCTTGGCTGTCAAATGAGGATAATAATAGTATCTACTTTATAGGGTTGTTGTGAGAACCAATAAACGAAAAGATTTTAGACTAGTAACTGGCACATAGAATTATATAAAGGTTTTAAAAAGGTAATTTATTGCCACAGTTTTTGTTGTTATCAGGCATAGAATCAGGCATAGGGCAGGTCTAGAGCAAACTAAATGCCATATTTTCACTCAGCTCTGAAGACAACATGATGACAAATGTTAGCCATCATTAGCTATTATCAGAACCTGTTCTTTCCAATTTCTAAGACAGAAGACTTCATAAACACTACCACTTATATGCAATAACCACTCCACCTAAACCCTTTGCATTTGGGAGCAAATCCGGATAAAGCTTGTCATCCCAAAAGGAGTCCTAAGAGCTCTCGCTATGCAAACTGGAAAAGGAGAATCACAAAAACCAACCAACCAAACAAACAAAAACACACCAAAAACAACCACAATTAAAAAAACAGAGTTAAGTACAATATATTATCTGCTTACTTCAGTTAAATTAAGCCTGAAGTCCCAAGTTAAGAATAAGCAAGAATTACAAAACAGAAGCAGTTCTCCTAAGATACTGTATTTAATTTTCCTGTGACTTGTTAGCTAGTTGACAAGATAAATCTCCGGTTATGCATGCTGATCTCTGTCTGCCACGACCCCCTTTAAGACACTGTTGACCTTCCCTTTCTCCATCTCTCAGGCGCACCGTGCCCACATGCATGCTGTAAGGCCATCTTCCTCCAGAAGCCTCCGTGGAGCCCTTCCAGCCAGAAGCCATTCTATCCTCCCTGCGCCACTATTTATGGCCTCTTGTAAGACCCTCATTACCGTCCGCACTGTTCAAATTCTATGTGTAGACACGCCAACCCCCTTTTCTATGAACAAATTTCAGCGTCTGAAGAATAATCTACAGATCTATGATCTAATTTACCCTGGTCTGAATGACACTGCACAAAATGGGTGCTCAATGAATGTTGGCAAAATAAGAGCAATAATAATTTTCCAAAATTACACTACTTAGAATCACTGGTTTAAATAAGTTAGTGCGTACCAAGGCTTTAAAAAGTTGCTTTGCTTCATGATTCACTTTGAAAAATATTTATTATTTTATAGAAGTTAATGTGCCTTTATCAAATTTTATTGTCAAATTAGATAACAATGAATGATGAATGAAAACAGAAGAGTCTGTGAAATTCTTAAAAGTATTTCCTAAATGTAGTGTAAGACAGAGAGAAATTTGGAAGTTGACCTCTAACACTGACCAAATAAAATTTCACCAAAATAGTTACAAAAAATAATCACAAATTAAAATTTTAATTAAATTCAAATGGCTATTCTCTTGTGGTTTGTTAAATAAAAGAGGAAAAAATCAATAGACACACAAACAGACTTTGAAGAGGAACTGAAATATCTAAAATAAATTATTGATCTACTTTTGAGCTTTTAATGGTATCTATAATTTAAAACTGCAACAAAGTAGTAGTTTGATAGTAATTATACCCACATGTACCCAAACTCACAAAACCCTTTCAGATTGCTCCAACTGAGCCACACCAACCATGGCTCCATTTAAAGAAAAATTAAATATATTTTTATTGATTTCAGAGAGGAAAGGAGAGGGAGAGAAACATCAATGATGAGAGTCATTGATCGGCTGCCTCCCGCATGCCCCCTACTGGGGATCAAGCACACAACCTGAGCATGTACCCTGACCAAGTATTGAACCATGACCTCCTGGTTCACAGGCCGACACTGAACCACTGAGGAACACAGGCTGGGCCAGGGCTCCATTTTCAAATCATATGAGAGAGGGGTACTTAGCTGAGCAATCAGAGAAATTGGCTCCAGAAGAAATATTTAAAAGTTATCTTGGGAAACAGGGCACAGTTAAAGAAAATCATGAATAGACAGAATCAATAAATAAAGGTTAAGCTGCTAAGAAAAAGGTGCACTTTAAGGACAAGAAAGAGTGTCAATAGGAAAATCACTCAAATGTAGACAACACTGGTCTTACTCTTCACCCCTCTACTTCAGCACACTTCCTGCACACAGCAGAAGGTACTGCTTCTGTTCATGCTGCTCCTCTCTCCGGCTAATCCTCCTGCCTTCCTTTTGCCTTCCAAGTCCACTCCATACTTCTCCTGCCTGGAGCCTCCCCTGACTATTTCTACTGTAACCCTGATGCTTTAAGCTGAAGGCAAGAGCTCTACAGTAAAAACAGCAACAACAAAAACAACTGGTAGCTTTCCTATGCCCAGAGGCTTTCTTAGCAGGTAGTAAAAAACAACCACAAAAAAACAACCATAAACAAAAAATTCTGCTCATTAAACTTGCATTTACTTCTTAGCATATTCTAAGTCTCAATTCAGATTTAATTGATCTGAAAAACATCATTCCACCTCAAGAAAAGACCTAAGGCCAAAAGAAGTTAGAAAAGTAGGAGGCGACAATTGTGTTTAAAAATGTCAAGGGAGTGACAAAGACTAAGAACAGATTATATCTGTAAATGGCTGAGTCCTTTCCTTTCGTAACTAAAAATTACAAAGATGATTCTGGGGGTAAGTCCAAAGTGTAACACTAAACACGGGGAGAGCAGATGAGTAACTCAAGCTGTAGTTAGTAAAAGAAAACCACGCCTGCGCTTCCCTGTCACACGAGATGCTGAGCTCAGAGACACACTCTGCAGGGGTAACGACGCTTAGAACATGAGATCTGAGGAGGTGACCGCTCAGAAGGCTCCACACAAAAGTCACACCTACTCCTAGGCCACGGAATGCGGCAGCGGCCTCCGCTCAGTGAGGCTTCCTTTCCTTACCTTCATTAAAGGTTTCCACACCGCGTGATCCTGGAAACTGGTTCGAAGCTGCTGCACAGATCTAGATAAACTGTGCAGACATCTACAAAGAATAACCAAAATTAGCTTTACAAGAAGCTGAAACTTACACTTTTCAAACACGCTGCTTGGCATCTCACAATTACTAACATACACTTCAGGCATAGCCACAGACATTATTAATTCAACTACTTCGGAACACTTGGTGGGCTTTCCAGGCTAGCTTCTCGGTTTAAACGTTACGCACTGAATTCACCTGAGCAGACTTTCGAGTAACACCGGGATTCTGTGCTTACTTGGTGAAGGTCCGGGAAGGAAACAGGTTAAACACATGGCAAGGGGTTTTTATTCAGACCATTTAAAGCTCATACCTGACAGCAGCTAACCGCACCTTGACACTAGACTCAGACAAGCCAGTCACAATTCGGTCCATCATATTTTCAGTCTCAATGATCTGGAGAAAAAGGTTAATGCTGCATAAATAACAACACAAGATGACATGCTTCACTGCTTGTAAACGCAAGTAGGCTGGCGTCACTAAAAGCTTAATATTGGCTTTAGTGAGAGTTTTTACCTCTGGAACCATCAGTTTGTGGCGGGGGGCAGGTATCTCATCAGAAAGGTTGGGCTATCCCCTAAGGACCTGCCAGGCTGAATGTCAGACATAAGGAGCCAATTATGCTTGATTATTTTTAATAACACTTAACACAATAACCACACGTCATGGTTAGCGCAGAGGTGTTGTATCAATAGTCTTGAGAAAGAGTGAAAGAGAAAGCAGAACTACCATTGGAAAGGTTCCTGCCACAGTGAGCTTCTAGGGAAACCATGGTCCACACAGCCCTTATGAAATAGAATCTGTGGGTTTCCGACAGAGCCTCCCTCTGGCTACTTTCTTATCCAGAAAATCGAAAAGTTAAACATTTAGAAAAGTGGCCCTTGCCATTTTGTACTATAACACCAAGCCCTGCTCCATGTAATCATTACAATCATGGAGCTTTAAAAAAAAAAAAAAATTAAAAACAAAGCCTACAATTTTTCTTCATTAAGCAATACATAGATACAAAATAAATAGTGTGGGGAAGAAATTAAGTTTAACTTGTGTGGTCCTATAGAAAAAACAGCATATTTTTTAAAAATGCTAACATAATCGCAATACAAACGTTAACAAAACTAACATTTGTAGAGTACTTCTTTGTGCCAGGGGCAGTGCGAATAAATGTTATGTTATCTGTTTCATCCATTTTGTGGCCATTAGGATGATTGCCACCAGCATATGAAGAAACGGAGGACTCAGATAAGACAGAGCCTCATGCTTAGTAGCCATGCTTGCAGGATGGCCCTGGTAGAGAAGAAGGCCTGTGCTCACCAGGCGGTTCCCAGGATGGACAACACATTAACGGCAGTCATTGCTCCTATGGGAAGTTTTTGTGGTTTTTTTTTTAAATCCAGGCCAATTAAATCAGAGTCTCTGGGATGGGGCCCAGGCACCTGCCTTTTGTTTTTGTTTTTGTTTTTTAAGCTCCACAGGTAGAGTCCAGGATGCCGCCATAGTTGAGGATCACTGACCTCAGAGTAGGAGGGGATGGGAAATCTCAGGATGTTCAAACCAAATGAGGAGAGAACAAAGCAGTTGAAATTAAGAGTGATGGGGAGAAGAATATAAACTATTAAGTACAGGGGACCACACTGCAGCTGTAGGGTAGCAATGGTAATTTTTATATAGTGATTTGGAGGTTCCTAAGTGGCTGAGAAAACTTATACTTCTCACCCAAGAGCAAAGGTAATCTCACCCTTACCTTTATGCACATCCAGCTCTGCCCCCATTGTCACTTCTAACCCCTAAATGCCTTCCTTTCTCACTGCATACGCTTTTCTTTCTTTCTTTTTTTTAAAATATATTTTATTTTATTGATTTTGTACAGAGAGGAAGAGAGAGGGATAGAGAGTTAGAAACATCGATGAGAGAGAAACATCAATCAGCTGCCTCTTGCACACCCGCTACTGGGGATGTGCCCGCAACCAAGGTACATGCCCTTGACCGGAATCGAACCCGGGACCCTTCAGTCCCCAAGCCGACGCTCTATCCATTGAGCCAAACCGGTTTCGGCTGCATATGCTTTTCAACCCTCACATACCTTTCTCCCTGACCTGGATTTCTTACTCAGATATGCTACTTAATAGACAATGCCTTTTTTTCACTGAGCTGCCATCACTTACTCCTGTTTCACATCTGAAAATGCTGATTTACAGTAGAAAATTCAGTAAACCTGGCTGCCGGATCCCTCAGTGTGCGCTACCCCATCTCGGTGGGACCTCGCTGCTCCGCCAGCTTTGCTCTCACCTGCAGGATACTCCCATCTTCCCTATGTATTTCTGTCCTTCAAACTCTTCCGACCTCCCTCCCACCCCCAGTCCCTCTGTGCCCACCTCATTCTTGCAGGGAAAGGCTTTTTTTCTTTCTAGGACACAAGTTGTCTCAACTTCCTCTTCTTAAAGTATCTCCCTACCCTTTCACTCTTGTTACACTGAAGTTGGAAACTTCAAGCTCAAAGCCCTTGCACCTTGAACCGGAAACTACCTCCCCTGCCTCTTTCTTGCAGCTTTACTCTGCCCCACCCCACCGGTTCCTTCCTCTTGGCCTGTGCCCTGCTGCCTGCACCCCTATTTAAAAGGCGTAAGTGCTCCAACTGTAATCTCTCTAAGTTACAGTCCTCGCCCCCTACCCTTCCGTAAATAGACACGTGTTCCCAGGCTCCATTCTTCGCTCACTCTGCATATAACAAATTTACACCTATCCCATACAGAAGCCACCTACAAAATAAAACAATGAAATAGTACCTATGGCATGGCATCATTAACTCTGGAAGCTAACTTTCTAAAATATTAATCTACAGTGTAATCACATCTAGACAGGTCCCTTAGAAAAATATTTTCAATTGATGCAGAAGTAACACAGATTTTGTGAGACAAAATGACAAAACTCTGCAACAACATATTTTAATACTTTGGAAGCAGAAAAGTGGGAACACTGTGAAGTAAACTTCTTCAGAGGAGATGGATTCTTCCAGGCTTGTTCAGACAGAGTATTTTAATTAGAGTCATATCTTAATCATATCTGGGTGTATCAATCATGGCAAAACTGGCTTTTAGTATGGACAAGACTAACACACATGAGGCTCTGGAATTACTATCTAGCAATTTAGTGTCTCATCTCCTTAGCTATTCTGTACTGTAAGCTCCTACAAGGTACACACCAGTATTCTGCTTCATTCCTGGACACAAAGGAGGAAGTATGTCATAAATGCCAGATGAAGAAAAAGATGTAATTAAAGCATCTCATTACCCATTTTGTACCAAAAAGTATGTGAGAGAAAATATATTTTTTCTTAATCTGATGTTCTGTAACCAGCTAACAAAATGACCAATTTGTACTTCATACTTAAAACAAACAAACAAACAAACAAACAAAAACCCTCCAGGAACTGTAATTCAATGGTTTATGCAATGACAATATTACAATCAGTAGTGTAATACTCAATGTTATGTCTCCATTTAATGAAACTCTAAGATCAATATGCATTACTTGGTTTTATAAATACCTCTGTTTTGTACCTAGCATTATCAGTCCCGGGTCTGCTTCTTACAGTACGCAGAAGGCCAAGGGTCTCAGTACCATGGGCAAGTAGCAGAACCTGACCCTGTCATGATTAACTCTTTAAAAATACTTACCATCATGAATGAATGCTGCAGAGATCATTTACAATTCTTTGGTAGGTTAGCTTTAAGACGATAACTAACAATTTCACCACAGATTAAGTCCATGGGTTCTGAATTCTGAATGAGTTTGTTGTTATTCAGTAACAGAGCCGAGTCCTGAAGGGCGCTACTTCTGTGGTACTGTGGAAAACCTTCAAAATGTTCAAGCTGTTTGTTTCAACTTGCAGGCTAAAGCTTAAAAATCGCTCCTTGTATCTGCCTCATTTCATGGCAGAGACATACAAAATTTTGACACCGTGCCTTTTAAATTACCATTTAGAATTATTGCACTTTGTAAAAATATTTAAAAATATAAATTCATGATATAATCATACCGTTACCCCGAACACTGACTAGTAATAAAATCAACGTATAAATCATAAAAATGTTTTATAAAATACTTAGCAAGTTTCTGAGTTGGCAGAAAGATATTTTAAAAAACTGACCTAAATTTAAAAATATACTTTAAAATCTTATAACTTTAAAAACATAGAAAATAATTTACATTTGTTCAAATTTTGAACGTGCATATTTAAGACAGGGCTTCATATGAATAATGATTCTTTGGAGAAATAACATCTATGGTAACCAGGGACAGTAATACTGTAATAGATAACCAAAGTTAAAATTTGGCCTCCACACTTTTCTTAACTTATCTATTACCTCTGAATTCAACCAGTTATTGATTTATATTGTATATTCTATTTAATTTAAAAAACAACAACCCAAAATTTAATTTGGTGCTTTGAAGGGCATGCTAAAGCAAACAAAAAGTTTTGAAAACCAAGAATTTAAATATATTCTATGAGAGTAAGAAGACATATTGTAATAAGAGGTAAGCTAAAGAAAGAGACTCTAAACTTCTTAAGTACAAATATTCTTTTTACTATAAAGAATAACTAACTAACAGAACTGGAAATTTATAACATAAAGTCACTGTCTTCATTGCAAACCTTTTTTATTTATGCCCCAACGTTGTTCAGTGTTTCTAGTACAATTTAAAATATATATATTTATTTTTAATCTTCCAATGAAGTCATTTAAGATATTCTAATAAATGCTTCCATTTGTTGAGCACTTACATGCACCATATTAAAGATTTTAAATACATTGTATCTTCATCCTCACAATGACCCTGCAGACAGAGCTTCTTTGGAAAAAGAAGGTAGAAGACAAATTCTCGTTTTTAGTGTTTTTTGTTGTTTTTTATTTACTTTTTATTTTTCCCCGCCTATACTGCTTAAAAGAAATTGTTCAATTTAAAAGGAAAAAAATATTCCATTCTTGACTACCTTATTCACGTAATATAAAACCAGTGTGATTAGATGACCCCCCTCCCCCTGTAAGAAACAAAAGTTAAGATTTCATGTTTTCACTCTTGAAAATATGAAAGGCAGGTATAAAACAATAAAAATGACAAAAACATTAAATTATTAATTTCCAAACTGATCCAAGAATAGTCCCATTGAAATCAACATGCCCATTCTAATTGTTTTCAAATAATTCCTTAAGCCTCTAGCAAATTCTTGCTGGCCATTCCTTCCTGATCTCTGACTTACTGAGGTTTTATTATAAATGCTGAGTTGTAAGGCTGAGTCTTATGGCTCTTCATCTCACTGTACTGCTTTCCTTCCTCCCTCACCCATTAGACAATATTTACACTTTACAGAATAGGTTGGTTTCTGAGTCAGGCTAATTTCTATAAACCAAATCATACTTTTATCCTTAGGAAAAAAATGGATCCAGATTCACATTTGTGAATAATATCCATTATTTTTAAATCACACATTTAAAAAGGAAAAAAACTAAAAATTTTTTTTCAAAATTAAACAAGTACCATGCTATAAAATATGGTCTCTTTGATCTAGTGAGAAGACATGTCCTTGTGATTGTCTGCATCTTGAAAAAAGAGAATTTCCTGCACTTTCTTTATGTTAAAGTATAGTGAAATACCTTGCCTATATGATCAGATTTTATTTTTCCTATTTAAATTTCTTTACATAGAATTGCTAATAAAATTATAAATGCTCTTAATGTATGAAGGCCCATACATAATTTGCTTAATAATGTAATTTTGCAATATGATTCATTCGCCTATTTGTCTATTCATTCATTCTTCAAATATTTATTAAGTGCTGTCTATCCATCTGGCAGTGTTGGAGATTCTGGGAATACACTGATGAACAATACATAAGAAAATCCCTGCCCTCATGGAGCTTACATTCTAATTCTTCAGAAGGAATGTCCCGCTAAAATATAAGTACTCAAAATCCAAGAGGAAAGCTTTCTGAAAGTCTCCATTAGTAAGATACTTCAAAGGAGCAAAGGCTACACTAAGTACTTCTTTTAAGATTTGCAATGTATTTTATTTTTATAAAAAATAAAAATAACATCCTGTTAAGTTCATTAATTTCCTTGAGTTAATTTATACTATTTCTAGTTTTCCTCAACTTATACTTTCTAACTAATAAATTATACTAGTTCCTTAAAGAGAGTAAAGAGAGACAATCCTTTAAAATTTCCAGCCTAATTTATGATCAACAGGTACCAAACAAGTAATGATCTTCCTAAGAACAATTCTGTTAGAAAAGAATCAGCCTCACAGTTACAGGACTGCCCCTGCATGACTTGACCACTGGCTGGGGTTATGACTGAAAATACCAGCACTCGAAAGAATGTTAGGTATCTTAACTTCTTTCTTTTTTACTGTCCCATTAACTGAACTTATGCTTCCCAGTCAGCATTAATATGTGGTCAAGGCCATTATTAAAAACTAGACTTTTCCCCTGGCAGAGATTATAGCGAATTGTGGTCACTGCCAATGCCCTCTGGACCATTCATACATTGAGTACTCAATTCCTACCTCTGTCCTTGCTTAACCTAACAAATTCTTGAATTATTCTATGTTGAATATGGCCAGGCAACATTGTCAAGCTCAGTGGTCCATCTTTTCTTAGACTTATCCCCTTTCATGTCACAGCCAATGATAATGTTTTCTACTCTCATCTGCAGAACTCTTCACATTCCTTCACTCTCTTGACAGGACACCAGAGGAAGTCAGGAAATTTGTAAGTATGCCACAGAGTGATAATGGATGAAATGCTGGGAATTAGAATACCAACTTTGCTCTGCACAAGATACAGAGAGATCCTGACATATTGAAGGAAATGTCACTCTGTGTTTGATTTCTGTATTTTCACTTCCATATTTATTCAACAAATACTTACTGGGTGCTTATTAGGTTCCAGGAATTGTTATATATTGATATCTCTTAATGGGAATACACCAACACTGCTCCAGAGCAGCAGTGGTATATCTCTGACCCACGGGTCATATCTCAGTCTTCATCTTAATTTGTCTGGCCCAGAGAGAAGGTATGAGAAATGAAATCACAGAAGGTCTTCAGTAGCAAAAAGATAGAAACATAATTCTAGAAACAAAGAAAGAAGGCCTGTATCTTTCTTCTTTACAGCTGGGTATGGCTCTTATTGTCAACCTCTTATGGCTTCAGTTTTTTCTTCTTCATTCTGCTTCATTTCCTGAACTGATCATAACAGGGCAATGGAATATATGTTATACCCTGTATTACTGAATTGCATTCCCATTTTCAGTTTAAAAGGCAGACCAACTGAACATTTCATATTTTTATCCTTGTGTGTGTGTGTTGTGTTGTGTTTTGTTTTACTTATTTTTTTTTTTTTGGGGGGGGGGAGGAAATAGCTCTATGATCCTTGAAATTTCTTTCAAAGAATCTTCACTCATTAACTCAGTAAACTAAAATTCCATCTTGACAAACATAAATATTGCATTAAAAAATAAAAGAACACTGTACTTCACGAAAATAAATATAATCAAAGTTAATAAGGCATAAGTGTAAAAGGTAAATATTTCATAGAGAAGTAAATAAAAATCTATCCAAATAATTGTGTCAACAAAAAATGGAACAGAAATAAAGGCATTCAAAGGAAAAGGATCACTGCCACTTTTTATGCACTGAAAATAAGAATTCTCCACTCCTAAGAACCATTTTCATGTAGGTTTTATCACAATATAGCCTATATTTTCCATTTTACAATATCCCTCTTCAGTAGTTACTATGAACTGTAAATTATTCAAATACTTCATTTTTCCAGAAATTAAATATTTTCCTTAAAACTCTATATATTCCCCATTATAAAGAATATCACAGTATCTTTTCTTCACCACACAAAAAAGCTATAATAATAATAACTTATTCTTTATTTGTCATCTTTCTACAGAAGTTATCAGGATTTAATCTTACCAGGAAATTATACACATTATAAATACAACTTTTAATAGACTGATCATCAGACTGTTATGTTATATTTCTAGAACATGATATCACAAATTAAGTCATTAATTCCAAAACAACAGTTTATTAACAAAAAAGTACAAATAAGTACAAATGGACATCCTATTTCCCCCCTTTATAGTCCATCTATCTATCTCCCTTTCAGTCCATGGCATAACCTTCTTGAGCTAAAAGAATGGGCAAAACACTTCTCATCTTTCTAATGAGCCCTAATGACCATCCAAAAACAAATCATTATGTATGTAAGTTATACAGTCCATATCAATTTAAAAAAAATGTTTTATCTATGAGTTGCCATAAAAGCCTCTTTGTAAACTGAATGAAGCATATCAATATCCAAAAATTATGTTTGTCAGACATAGGGAATACCATATCACTAGTATGCTTATCTTTAAGTAACAGTTTACAAATGAAAGCTTAGAGGTGTCAAGAAGGATTTTCATAAATATTTACTAAGAACACTTCAAGTCAAAAAATCTTGTTAGTTGAACTAAATTGAGGTACATGGAAAACAATGAGCTGAGTTGCTTTTTTGCACTGATTTTAAATCAATGCTATTCACATATCTTACCTTTCTGCTTATTTCAATTTTATTCAAGAATGGTTCCTTTTCAACTGATTTAATGAAACCTACGGCTATGCCATACCTCTCTCTCTCTCTCTCTCTCTCTCTCTCTCTTGAGCCCAAGTACTTCTCTGAATCATGACAAATTTCCAATACCTTGTAATTTCCCTCACAAATACCAATATAGATAGAATACTTAGTAAAGTGCCATGTTCAGTAAATAATGTCCAATTTGCTCTTTCTGCTATGGCTCATCAAGAAAGAACATGTGGGATTACTTTACTGATGTTTCTAAAAGCCTTGTGTAAAATTTATTAGATTAGGTTATATATTTTTTTGAGTGGCAGATCCAGTTTTTGGTTTGACGAGGGAGCCAGGTCAGAGCTTAAAACTATACTTTATTTTATACTTACAACTATTCTCATAAAAAACACGAGTTCAGTGTTGGACTAGGCTGTTAAAACAAGGTGCTACACCAGTGGTACATTTTTTGGGACCTGAAAATTCACATGACCACTCACTAAACATAAAATCATCATTCCACAAAGATTTTATTCACATCAAACTTGCACAGTAGCAAAAAAATCAAAACATAACTAAGCCACATATCAAAGAACAATATACAATAGATTTAAATTTCTCAATGGCATTGGAAAGTATTTTCATAAATAACATATACAATTCTAGTGTTAGGACTTTCAAGGTGTCTGAAGCTTCACAGTGCTAGAAATGATTTTTTTCAGAACACATGCAAAAATGTGCAACACAATAATCCATATTAATGACACAAAGAAACACACCAGTTATTTCTCATTCCAGCACGGCCATGCCACTCTATGTTCTAAAACAAACAAACAACCCCCCAAATCCGGGTCCCATTCATTCTTCAATTATGCCTTTATTATATTCAAACAGTCACTGTTAGTGCTCTTCACCACGACTTTCAGGTTGGCGTCACTCCCTGCCTGCTGGCTGTCAGGACTGGGGGACGCCCCTCTCCCAGACTCACCTTCTTCCGGATGTCTTCATCATTTGCTCCAAGAGAGGCATAGAGCTTGAATGCAGCCTGGCGGAGTTCGTGAGCATGTTTTAAGTCATGATCAAGCTATGGGAGAAGAAAAAAAGATATGTTACAAATCAGTCCACAAATTAAATTTTCAATAATACCAACTGAGTTGAAGAAAAAAATGTTTAACAACTATTAACGTGTGAATGCTCTCACTGAATTCCTGATTATTTTTGGGTTCTGCTCATGTGACTGAGACCTTTGTGTTTGTGTCAGCATTATCTGGACACACACTGTCTGCTTCTGTTTAAAAGTGAATACCACGCCGAAACCGGTTTGGCTCAGTGGTAGAGCGTCGGTCTGCGGACTGAAAGGTCCCGGGTTCGATTACGGTCAAGGGCATGTACTTGAGTTGCAGGCACATCCCCAGTGAGGGGTGTGCAAGAGGTAGCTGGTTGATGTTTCTAGCTCTCTATCTCTCTCCCTTCCTCTCTGTAAAAAAATCAATAAAATATATTAAAAAAAAAAAAAAAGTGAATACCACAATGTTTGACATTAGTATATGTAAAACCTCTGTGAATCTTTGACCCCTAAAAATTCAGTGATCCTAGATTGTCAGTGGCACTAATGCTTGCTTGCACCGGCTCTTTGAAATACCTTCCCACAAAACAAGGTACACTCAGACCTTGCTAGCCCCAGAATACAGCTGATAACTTGAGTGCTACTGCAACAATGTCTTTAGCAGAAATGTTCAGAGAAGTGCTAGCCTAATTTCAGTATTTCAAATACTTTTAGAAACAGGAAAAACTTTTGTGAAAATCCTTAATGAACATTATACCATGGTAATCATTACTATTTATCTATTGCAGTTATCTGAGATTTATGTCAGGAGACTTTTTTGATACATTTATTAAAACTAGAGGGAGGAACCAAGATGGTGGCATAAATAAACACCTGAACTTGCTACCTTGCATAACCACATCAAAACTACAACTAAAAGACAAAACCAATATCACCCAGAACCATGGGAAGGCTGAGTGGAAGTCATACAATTAGAAGGAAAAGCGCTGCGGAGGTGTGGAGGTGCGGAGGTACAGAGGCAAGCACAAAAATGGGCTGGCAAATGGGTATGCAGTTGTCTTCTTTAATTGGGAGGGAGATAAGTTCCTGACTGCTCTGAACTCCAATTCAGGGTGAGACTCTGGGGACCCAGACTCATATGAGGAGAAACTGGACTGTCTGGAATCAGGCTTGAACACAAGGGTGGCTTTTCTCAGAGGTGCTTGCAATGATGCTGCGAGATACAGAGACCCGGGGGCCTCTTCCGGGCAGGGATGACGGGCAGCCATTGATGTCTGCTCTGCCCTGGTGATTCCCTGAGGACCTGCCCCACACAATTTACAACCCTACCCGGGCTGTGCACAGAAGCTTGTGCATATGAATGGCCTGGCCTTTTGCAATCTAAAACCTAACAAATTGCAGCTGGGTCAGAGAGCTCCTGAGCTTCCAAAAGAAGGCCCAAGGCTCCACAGCAGCTTGCATTGTTCATAGCTGGGCTTTATCTGGGCACCTCCAAACCCCCAACAAAGAGGAGGAATCTGCAGATCTCTTGGTAGATCCTGCTGGGTGGCCTCAGGCAGTGGCTAACTCAAGAGCCAGTGTACCCAGGGGTCAGAGGGAAGCCATCCAGATTACAACTCTTCATATCCATAAGAGACACACTCAAGGGGCAGACTCTGTGAGCACCAAAGCCCCAATGAAACAAGTTCTGCCCCATAAGGGTGTCTCCAACACAGAAGTTCTCCTATCATAGACACAGCTGATCCTCAGCCAATTGGCCTGGAGGTCAATTTCTCCCAGTGATATCAACAATAATCAAGGCTTAACTACAACAAGACTGTGTACACAGACCACAAAGGGGTGCGCCAAGAGTGTCCACCTCAGGTAACTGGGGAGGTTGAGCCACTGGCCCTATAGAACACATAGCACACAAAGCCACTCTATCAACTCAAGGAAGCAGCCAAAATGTGGAGACAAAGAAACATGTCACAAATGAAAGAAATGGAGGAAAGCAAACTACTGGATATAGAGTTCAAAACCATGGTTATAAGGTTACTCAAGAATCTCCTAGAAGCCTCTGAGAAATTTAGTGAGACCCTTAAGGATATGAAAAAGGACCAATTAAAAATTAAACATACGTTGACTGAAATAAAGAATAATATACAAAGATCCAACAGCATATTAGAGAATCGCAAGAATCAAGTCAAAGATTTGAAATACAAAGAAGCAAAAAACACCCAACCAGAATAACAAAAAGAAAAAAGAATCCAAATATATGAAGATAGTATAAGGAGCCTCTGGGACAACTTCAAGCATACCAACATCTGAATTATGAGGGTGCCAGAAAAAGAGAGAGAGAGCAAGATATTGAAAACCTATATGAAGAAATAATGACAGAGAACTTCCCTTCCCTGGTGAAAGAAATAGACTTACAAGTCCAGGAAGCACAGAGAACCCCAGACAAAAGGAATCCACGGAGGACCACACCAAGACACATCATAATTAAAATGACAAGGGCAAAAAACAAAGAGAAAATCTTGAAAGTAGCAAGAGAAAAACAGTTACCTACAAAGGAGTGCCCATACAGTTGTCAGCTGATTTCTCAATAGAAACTATGCAGGCCAGCCGAAACCGGTTTGACTCAGTGGTAGAGCATCGGTCTGTGGACTGAAAGGTCCCAGGTTCGATTCTGGCCAAGGGCATGTACATTGGTTGCGGGCATATCCCCGGTAGGGGGTGTGCAAGAGGCAGCTGGTCGATGTTTCTCTCTCATCGATGTTTCTAGCTCTCTATCTCTCTCCCTTCCTCTCTGTAAGAAAATCAATAAAATTTATTTTAAAAAAAAGAAACTATGCAGGCCAGAAGGGAGTGGCAAGAAATATTCAAAGTGATGAATAGCAAGAACCTACAACCAAGATTACTCTCTCTACCCAGCAAAGCTATCATTTAGAACTGAAGGTGAGATAAAGAGCTTCACAGATAAGAAAAAGCTAAAGGAGTTCATCACCACCAAGCCAGTATTATATGAAATGCTCAAGGGTATTTTTGATGATGATGATGATGATGATGATGATGAAGAAGAAGGAGAAGAAGGAGAAGAAGAAGAAGAAGAAGAAGAAGAAGAAGAAGAAGAAGAAGAAGAAGAAGAAGAAGAAAAAGGTAAAGATAAAAATGATGAACAGTGACAACAAATACATATCTATCAACAAGTGGATCTAAAAATCAAGTGAATAAAAAAATCTGAGGAACAGAATAAAATGGTGAATATCATAGAATCAGGAGAAAAGAAAGGGAGTGGACTGACAATTCTCGAGGAGAAGGTGGTGTTGAGGTGTAGGAAGAGACTGGACAAAAATCGTACACCTATTGAGGAGGACAGTGGGGGAGGATAAAGGCAGGGGGTGAGATGGGAAGCGGGTAGAGGGGAGCTATGAAGGGGTGGGAAAAGGAATAACTGTAATAATCTGAACAATAAAGATTTATTAAAAAAACAAAAAAACAAACCCACACTACTTACTGGTGTGAAACAATTCTACCTTTCCATATGCATAACTGGCTTCTAAGTTATCAATTTTCCATACATCTGATTTATCACCAAACCACCATAATAAAAATAGGACAGTTTCAGTGACTATGAACCAATAAATATATAAGGCATAGCAATAAGGTAAATAATTTTATAACCAAGAGACTAACTTCTTCATCCAAGTGACTACCACTTTCTTCAAATGATTTGCCTTCAAGGTTCTCTTCTGCAATGATATAGCTGTTGTTCAAAAATAACCAGAGACCCTCTTTTAAAATTTCCTAAAGAGCTAACTGGCATGTGAGCTACAAAACCCTGACTAATATACATATGAACTAAGAGAGTTTGAAGTTAATTGACAATTATTGTGATGTGTGAAGATGAGGAAATCTAGCTGGGTAACTTTTAGAGTATCAAATAAAACAAAACACCTTGAAACTCATTTGGGGTAGTTCTGAAGACAATTTTTAATATATATATATATATATATATATATATATATTTTATTGATTTTTTACAGAGAGAAAGGTTGAGGAATAGAGAGTTAGAAACATCGATCAGCTGCCTTCTGCACACCATTCTATTGGGGATGTGCCTGAAACCAAAGTACATCCCCTTGACCAGAACTGAACCTGGGACCCCTCAGTCCACTGGGCCAAACCAGCCAGGGTTGAAAGCAATTCTTAAAAGTAGTTCCAAAAATATTCTGATCAAAGCAAGCACTGGTAGATTATGGGAGGAATCTCCCAATATATAATGAGGAACACTCACTTTGATGTATAAGTCCTAAAATATTTATTCTTAAATTTTTACTACTTTTTAGTCATAACATACTGGTAGTAGAATACTAAGTTGGACTAATATATCATGAAAATCATACATTTGTTAACATGTAAGAATTTCTCCCTATGGTTATTTATTTCTTTTTTTTTTTTTTGAGGGCAAGTCAGAAACCACTGGATAATCCATCATTAAAAATAAAGATGACTTGCCCTGGCTGGTGTATTCAGTGGTTAGAGGGTTGAACTGCACACTGAAGGGTCTTGGGTTTGATTCCTGGTCAAGGGCCTGGATTGTGGGAACCCCTGGCATGGTCGGGCATGTGGAGGAGACAACAATCCAATAGATGTGTCACTCTCATATCGATCTCTCTCTCTTTTCTACATTCCCTCCCACCTTTCCACTCTTTCTAAAAAAAAAAAAAAAAAATTAATGGAGGAAACATCCTTAGATAAGGATTAACAAAAAATAAAAACTAAATAAAGATAACAAAACAAACTAATATTCAAGTTTGGCATTGAGATAATTTTTAAAAATTATTTCTAGTTTTACTGTAATTAAAATAAAACGGAAAAACCTTAATAGCAGGGATAAACTACATACTAATTAAATGATTTGCACCTGCTTAGATTATCTATTCTTATAACTATGTTCCCTCACTCTCATGTCCAACAAAGTATTCTATTTGCCTTGCTGGAATGGTCAACTCAGGATGTTCATGAGGCCATCACTAGGACTTGCCTATGTATCTCTGTACCAATGAGATACTGTCAGTGTGAGCAAGTAGCCAGAGGGAGAACAGACATGGCAATCACCCATGGGAAAAACAATCATACTGAAGGAAGAGCAGACATAACTTTAATACACAGAGGGCAATATACATTATTAACACAAATATTAATGAAAGCATTTTAGGTCCTTCCTGAGACAGAGAAAATATATATACCCTTAATAGTTTATTTTATTTTCTGTATCAAATGCTAAATGAACAGCTGCCTGCCAAATGAAATTTTTTTTTTTTTTTTTTTTTTTTAACTCAGGGGCATGAGAGAGGTCAAGAAAACAATTTTTTAGAAGTTACCATTGGGCCGGGACCGGTTTAGCTCAATGGATAGAGCGTCGGCTTGGGGACTCAAGGGACCCGGGTTCGATTCCAGTCGGGGGCATGTGCCTTGGTTGCAGGCATATCCCCAGTGGGGGGTGTGCAGGAGGCAGCTGATCGGTGACTCTCTCTCATCGATGTTTCTGACTATCTCTCTCCCTTCCTCTCTGTACAAAATCAATAAAATATATTAAAAAAAAAAAAAGTTACCATTGGGACTACTGGTATAAAAAATACAGTCATAATCATGAAACAGCACTGGTTACTAATCAGAAGGCAATGTTTTTTCTACCATGACCTTCTTAAATAAACTTTCTCTAACAATATTTACCTCCTATGCTTACAGCAATAAACATGACAAAGAGGCTCAGAAAAACAAAGACAAAGGAATATCTACCCATCCTAAGGAACTTATATTTTGAGAAAAAGTAAGCACAATTAATAGTCTCAGTATAAAGGTCAAATGATGCTTTGGCTGTCACTATCATACCAAGTACAGTATAAAACTGGAAAAAGGAAAGAGAATATGGCAAAAGTTAGGAGAAGTAGCAAAAGACTGCAGTGGAGAATATAACAAGGCCACTAAGTTACATAAAGCAAAAGATTGCCTTGACCTAAAGAACAATGCAATAGAGATGATTCTGGGAACATGAATAGGATGAGATAACACTGACAGAATGTCAGTAACCAGTTTAGATACCAGACCCCACTATTTGGAAGTTTTATTTGGGGATTAGGGATGTAATTTTCTTCTTTCCTCATTATTTCCTTAATAAAAATTTCTGCACAACTGGTGTGGCTCAGTGATTGAACGCTGGCCCATGAATCAACAGTTGGTTGGCAGTTCAATTCTCGGTCAGGGCACATGCCCAGGTTGTGGGCTCGATCCCAGTAGGAGGTGTGCAGGAAGCAGCCAATCGATATTTTACCCTCATCGATGTTTCTTTCTCTATTGCTCTCCCTTTCTCTCTCTAAAAATCAATAAAAACATATTTAAAAAAATTCTGAACATGAAACAAATTGGACTAAAAAACTCATAAAACAACATCATCTATGTTACCAAAGGTAAAATATTCTTTTATTTAAAAGGGCTTTGAACTGTATTACCAAGTAGTTCAAAGTAGTGAATGGTAAGTAGAACTTTTAGAAATCCCTCTCTAGAGCTGCTGAAAAGGAAAAGAAAACATACCCTTTTAATGTCAGTGATGGCACTCACAGAGCTGGGATACTTGAAGTAATCAGCAAGCATGGCAATAAGGTGATCAGTAATGCTAGCAATTCTTTGTAGTTCAACATCTGGTTCAATCAGATAGGCGAGTGTCTCAGCTCCTTCAACTCTCTCCTCTAGTAATCTCTCCTTACTGCACATTCGAACCAAACATGGCAACGTCTGAAAAGTAGTGAAATTAATTATTTGCTTTTTGATAAAGGCAAAAGCTTGGAGATCATATAGTGACTGAATTAACTCAATGATTTTTATTGGGAGTCATGCTTGTAATGAAATTTTCAATGAAGACTCACAGAGAATAAGAGTTTTTTAATGTAAAAATATATAAAATTCAGTGCATGTTAATCATTTATGCTGGTACACTAAATTAATCATAAAATCAAAATACAATAATATAAACTCCATTCAGGCTTATATGATTGATAAGACTAAAGCTTTATGTACAACCTTACAAAAGACATTTCAAGAATCCCTAATAAAGCATGTCTGATGCTTCTATACCATGTATGTATTTATTTATCTAATTGACATCCAACAGTTTAACCAGGAATGATTTTGCTTTAAAAAAGTATGCTATTTTTTCTTAGTGAGTAATATGGTTGGTATGACTTTTATTTTTGTTTGGGAATTAATATCTATAGGAACAACAACAACAACAAAAGATACAGCTTTAAAGGTTCAGTGATCTTAACCATCACTCAGATTCCATCGGTTCTCCTATAATGCAAGTGAAATGCATTAACTACAGTTCCTAGGTTTTCCAAAGAGTTCCTTGGAAAGACTAATATCTAAGCTGTCCATTTTTACTTCTGAGGTTCTTCAAAAATCTTGGCACTGGTCTTGATTGGTTATTTATAAATAAAAATATCCCATGTATTTACTATTTATAAGGTAGATGGATCCACTTTAAAGGATAATGTGGAAGTAAAAACTGAAAAATATTACGATTATAGGAAACCTCTCTCAACTACCACTGCCAGCTGTTCTTTTCTAAGTCCCCAATACATCTTTATCACAGTTTAGCACTTTATTGTTAACTACCGATTTCAGGCTTCTCAATACAACCCTAGGCTTCCAAGAGGAAAGCCCATTCTTATTTTCTTTTGAACGGTCACTAACATTAATCCATACCATAAAATCATGGATTACTGAATTTCATTCTCCCAACTACTACACCAAGAAAGATACTATTAACCTTGTTGACCAATGAGGAAGAAAAGAAGGGAGAGCAGTTAAGAAAATAAACCAAGGTCCTTGTATGGAAGCCTTTAGCATTCGATGCAGAGTTGTTTTCTTAGGAGATAGTCAAATCTCATTAAATTAACTGACTTGCTTCACCAAAGACTAAAGCAAACAATCTTTTTTTTATCCTTGGGTTGATTTTGAACACTGATAGTGAGAGAAATCACATTCATAAAATGACACACAATGAATTTATTAATACTTGATTTGTTCTTTATAGCAAATAAGACATTTAATGGATTGTTATTCTCACAGTAACCCTGTGGGACAAATGAGCAAGAATTATTGCCGCCATTTTCATAATTAGGAGTCTGAAGTGCCAACAGAATAAGGGGTGTGTACAAGGTTACCAAGCCAGGCAGTAGTGGTAACCTGGGAGATCTTCTAATGCTTATGGGTGTCCATAAGAAATCAGAGGTTATTAGCAGATTCCAGGTCTTGGGACTTTTAGGGCTAGTCTTTTAGTCTTTGAGTTTTTCTGACTTTAGTTGATTTGGACATCAATGACAATGATGGCTTTCATGTGTTATTTACTTATTCCTTCTCAGTTTGCCTTTTGATTGTTTGCCATGAGAGTGATATAAAGTTTTTATTTGCAGAACTAGTGAACTGCTTCCTACAAAAACTGTTGCAAACAATAAAAACCAAGGATTAAAATATATTTTCTATCACCTGAATTTTACATATTTTTATAATTTCTACATCCCCCTTATTACCATAAAAATAAAAGTATGACAGGGAAATAATTATTTCACTTTGACTTTCAAAACACATATAAAACCAATTTTTAAAAACTACATGACATCCCACCAAAAAGAAAAGCATGGTATTTACAATTATTTTATTCTACGCACACATACCATAGTGACAAATAGGAATACCAATATTTATATTCAACACATATGAATGAATACTTTTCATATGCCTTTTAGAGAATTAATTAGCTCACCTTTAATACAATACAGTTGTCATCTGTCCGAATTGCTCCAGCTCTACACATGTAAGTCAAACTGGAATAAGATAACAGAAAGTAAGTTTTTGCTTGTGTTTTAAAGCGTTAAAAGGAAAATTACTTGCCTTTAATATTTTATGGGCCAAAAATAAGACAACTACTCTCATTTATTTTGAGAGAGGCTTTGACATTCCCTTATCTGAGTTTCTGTTCATTTAATAGTCAAAGAAAACTAACGGATACCAATGTTATGAGCCAGATATTAAAAAACCCCAAAACCTTACAAAATTGTTTTTAAAATAAATGGCCTAATAGGTGGATGCATTTTGAAGCTAGGTGCTGAGCACATTAGGATTCTTTATACTTCTCTGTTTTCTTTTAAATTTTCCATAATAAAAAGGAAAAAAAATTAAAATATAAAGTTAACAAAGTATCTAAGTTTAAATGAAGTTAAGTTGGTAGTCTAACTTTAACAGCAGAAGTATTATAGGAGAAGCATTTACCTTCTAATGCTTATGGGTGTCCATAAGAAATTAACTAATCAGAGGTTATTAGTAGTGGCATTAAGAATTAGGCAATGATTTGGTTTTATTGAAAAACAATTTACCTTCACAATTATATCTGGCTTTGAATAAGAATAAAATTACTACTTTGCACTCCCCAAACAGGTAATGAACATTAAGCACTTCAGAAACTTCAATGAGTTTCCTTTTTCAATTATATTCTTTTGGTAAGCTGGATAAAAAAAAACAAAAAAAAAGACACCCATGTTCTAGCTTTTAGGGGATACTATAAACAAATCAGTAAAATACTTATATTACAGAGCAAGGGTGGGGAATGTCTGGCCCGAGGGCCGTATACTAGTAAAATCATTTGGTCTGGCCCTGCTAAGGCATTAGGAGTGAGTTAATTAAATGTTTGACCAAATATAGCAGGATAATTTTTAAGATAATAATTCTGTATGGCCTGCAAATTATGTTATAAATATCCAAATGGCCCTTGGCAGAAAAAAAGGTTCCCAACTCTTGTTCTAGAGGGCTGAATCCTTTATAGCTGTTATCATTTTAAGGCTTGTTATCTCTACTGTCTTTTTTTAAAAATGTTCTATGGCAGAGTTACCTCACCAACAAAGAAGCAAATAGTTTTGAAGTTAAGACAAAAGGGAAAAAAATACAAGTATCGTAATATAAACAAACAATAAACAATTCACAGTTCATGAGCAAATCACTGAAAATTTTTCATTCTCATCAAAATATTAGTTTTTTAAATACTGAAATCAACAATTCATTTAGCATAGAACCCTATACAGCAGGTGTTCGACCTATCTGTAATATATTGATATAGAATTAGCATGTATTGAAGGCTTATAGGAGCCAGGAGTTATGCTAATAAGAACTTTATGTAACTACCTTATAAACTATTACATCTCTATGAGGATTTTTGTTTGTTTGTTTTTCCTAAAACGAGGAAACCATAATCTCTGAAATCGTGCCTTGGTTATCAACTTTAATTCTCATTCATATTTCTATATATTTGTATTTTCCTGGCTTAATATAATACTTTTAATATTTAGCATAATATGTGGTGGTTAATTCTCATCTAATTGCATATTATTTCAATGGAAATACAGGAAGGGAATGTGATAAAGTAATTTTCTGTAGGTAGACTTAGATGTTACATGAGAGTTCCTGTTCTGCATGCTATTGAGTAAATGGAGTAAATACCATGTCCATTTAAGAAAATGTGAGACAAACCCATGACTTTCAAATTAAAAAAATCCCAAACAAAATTGGGATTGAAAATGAACTAATCAATCTGTCTCAAAATCCTCTAAGATATTGAGAAACACTATCTTTCTTCCCACATTGTCTTGATTTTTACCATTTTGCTGATGTGAGTTGCATCTCAATAGGCTTATCCCTCTGTAACATCTTCACAAAAATTTGTGGTAATAATTCTCCATCAACCAAAACTAGAAACAAAACAAACAACAAGAATTGAGAACTTCTTTAAATCTACAAAGTTTATAAATTAAATCAAGTAGGTTCCACTAAAAATTCCAGCCTACCATTTACCAGGGTCATCGATACCTGGGGGTTTTCAAAAGCTAAAACTGAAAAGCATTTCAGTGCTTGCATTCGAACCTATAAAAATAAATAAACAAAGAAACAACATTTTTATTTCAGTTTTGCAAATATGCATTATAAAAAAATATATTTTTATTGATTTCAGAGAGGAAAGGAGAAGGAGAGATAGAAACATCAATGATGATCAGCTGCCTCCTGCACACCCCCTGCTGGAGATCAAGCCAGCAACCCATGCACGTTCCCTTGACTGGTATCGAACCAGGGACTCTTGAATCCACAGGCTGACACTCTATCCACTGAGCAAAACCAGTTATGGCACAAATACGCATTTTAATGTATGAAAATCTAAACTCTTCTGAAGAAATAACTAACTAAATCTGCCAAAGTACTAAAGAAAGGACTCAAGGGAATAGAAATAAAACCTGTTTATCTAAGGAGTGCAATAAGTTAAAATTAATGAATGAAAAAGCAAAAAAGTAGCAATTAAAATTTAACTAGACAAATCCCTAATCAAATTTAAGAGAACACTGTACAAAATACAATGTTGGTAAGGCAAAAGGGAACTTAAAAACAATTACCAACTGCCTTCCAAGTGGGACATTTCTTCTTCCCAAATTACAAAAAACAGATACCTAAAGGAGGGGGGGAAAAGAGTACTCTACTCTTGTGGTTGCATATGGGATGAGAATGGGGAAGAGAAGAAACGAACAAACTGAACAAACCATAAAAGTTTGAAAAGGGCTAAATTAATTTAACTTTTAAAACACCTATAAATTGTGCCACTACTCATTAAAACTGGGTAACTGGTCTGGGATGATACCAAGGAATGGCCCAAACTCTCGACCACACCCAACGTATTTCACAATTTGCAGGAACTCCTACAGGAGCTATTATTTTCTTAAGTCTTTCTGTTCAGTTTTTACCAGATATCTAATTCTCACTTCCAAGCCTGAGCCTATATTTGATGTTCTTATGTGGAACCTGGGACTACTAGGATAGGTAGCTGAGGTATGAAGAAACATGTCCCTCACTTGGACAATACAACTATCCTTGTGAGCTCTTCACCAAGAGTGAATTTGGGCGTCTGGGGTAGAGAAAGCATACATATTAGCAGGCTGCAATAGAGCTAAGGACTAGAAGAGCAGAGTAAGATAAGTACAAGTGGATAGAAGACAAAATGACGGCTTCTCTGCTCTACAGGAAACTCCTGGTAACCCAACTCTAATGTGACACAAGGACAATGTCCCAATATTTGCTACAATTTGCTAACTGAACAACAATGAAATGTCCAAAGTTTTAGCTAAATGCTTGATAATATGTCATGATGCCACTTACCTATATATAAAAGACAGTAAAGAACATTTAATTAACAAATCTTGAATTTTAAGCTCAAAAGAGAAAGAAGAAGAATTTTAAGTGTTTATGTATATATATGTGGATATATACTGTTTGTTTGAGTCAGTCACTGTGGCTAAATAAAGGTCTCAAATATGAAAGCCAGTTTTTCCTGATATAGCAAGCCATTGCTCCTATATATACTTCAAGGCATCAGCTTTGGCACGGACATCTAACTGGAGGAGATTGTTAATAATCACAGGTGAAAATCAATAGCTACTCATGCCACAACCATATCCTGAAAACAAAAGAGAAAGGATAGTTGTTGTTTTTTTAAAGTATCTTCTATAGATAAGACAATGCCCCAAAACATTTTACTGATAAAAACTACTCTTGATCACAATATCTAACAAAGAAGGAATAAAATATGTGGGTTCCTTTCTAGAGCAAGATTTTAGAAATCGAAATAAAGTATAAAAATTTGGACGTAATTTTTAACATCTTACTTTGTAAGATACTGAGGTTAGTAGGTGAGCAATATTCTGAACTGCACCATGGTTAAATAAAATTGTTTGATGATCTGGACCCTGTAAGAAAAGAGAATACAGCAATACATCAAAAAGAGCAAGATTCGTTCCAATAAAACATTTATTTAAATGTAGAAAACCATTCTCAATACAATGCAGAATCCTCAGCTACCCTTCTCTTACATAAACTCACCCCACAAAAAAGCAGGGAAGCTGGGTCACTTATGGAATATCTTTACTGATGGAGTTATGTTTATAAATGATGACAAGATCAAACACAACGCAATTCTCTGACCACAACGGTTTCCCACTGCTAACAAGATAAACCGTACTCTTTTAATCCCTCAAATTCTGTACCCCAAAGATTGTAGCAATATTTGTTACAAAAGCTCTTCCTCTTCTCCGTCCTACACAGGATTGTGTAAATACAACTGCAAGAAAAAATTAGTGGCCGCACCAACTAGAAAGGAAGAGCTATCAATTGATTCTTATCAAGTCTTTCTAGTCTCTCCAAATCAACCTGCATGAACCTAGGGTTATGGAGGCAGCATCCACAGAGTAGGAGGCACATAAGCCCATGTGATCTTAAACTCCAAAAGATAGTCTCAAAAATCTGAGTAACTTTTTAAGAAGTGACAACAATTTAGAAGTTAGAGCTCCTAATATTATTACTAGCCCTTTCCAGCTACTTAATAAGGGAGAGAAAATTTCAAATGTAATTATGACTAGCTTATAACAGTTTAATATTTCTCCTCTTTTTCTGTGTCTTCTACCCCAAGTATGTATATTTATTTGATATTGATATCAGCATATACAAATTTGTGAATGAGTCTTAAAATTGTATTATGAATTTTATATGTAAACTGACCAACATAAAAATGTAAAGTTTTTACAATTAATGACATTACAGAGATCATGAGATTAGTTGTTTTCAAAGATATATATTATTAGTGTATCAGTAGAAAGATTAATATTGTATTTTAAGCTATTTCTATTGTTATTGGGTTTATAAATGCTATGTTTCCTGAGGTCTAGTTCTATCTCAGAACACCTGAATCTTGTCATTTAATTACAGTTGCAAATGCTCATTATCAGGTTAAGAGAAAGCCAAGTTAAGATGAATTTCTCTGTTACCTTTAGTTCTATGAATGCCATGAGGTTGCCTCTAAGTTTCTCTCTAGCACAAGAGCTAGTGATTTAATGGTATTCCTTTAACTATGATTCCAGCTAAAACAGCAGAGAAGTCTCACATAAGCAAATCTAAAAGTGGTAATAAATTTCTAATGAATAATCCTAAAAGTGATTTGAGTAACTTCAGGAATGGGACCATTCAAATTTCTCATAATTTAACATAATTTGACATGTAGTAGTTATATACATCCAGGTCCAATCTTCAGTGCCCCTTTGAATTACTTTAGTTATAACTAGTAGATGCTATGTTCTCGAACACTCGGGTATAGGCGCTCAAAGATTTGTAATGATGCACAGAGTCCTGGAGTATTCTTTTCTAACTGCCAGGACCAGCTATAAGATATAATTTCATTGTTGAAAGATGTTTGACCCTGTTAGTTTAGATCATTTTTAGTTAAATGAATTGCAACAAAAGTATTGTTTTCTTAAAGTCTTTCCTTGAATCAAAGAGTGTGTGTACAGTATTTGTAACTTTACCACATATTGTAAAAGTTAAGAGATCATTTGACATCCCTGGACCTGTGAGTCAGCTTACACACTGTCAAAACAATCTGGGAAGAGAAACTTCAAAACTTATTTATTTATTTACTTATTTATTATTTTCTAGTTTTACATATGTCTCCTTTCCCCCTGATTGACCCCCACCCTTGGTCCCCAGCCATTCCCATCCCAGGCAAGCCCCCATCGCCCCAGTGCCTGTGTCCATTGGTTATGCTAATATGCATGCATACAAGTCCTTTGGTTGCTCTCTAAACTCATTCCCCCCTGACATTTGTTTCTGGATCTATTCTTGTTCATCAAATTATGTTGATCATTATATCCCACATATGAGTGAGATCATGTGATATTTATCTTTCTCCGACTGGGAAACTTCAAAGATTTTTGACAAAAATCTTAAATAGAATTAAGTGGGCTGTGAACTTCCTTTAGGATTTGGGAAGGGGTTTAAACATTTAAATTATAATCAATAATAGGTAATTTTTATGGAACCAAATTATTTAATTTTCATTTATTTGGGAAACTGTTCTAAAATGTGATCTGTGATCTTCCTAGTTTAGTATGTAGATGTTCACTTCTCTTTTCCTTCTTTCCTACAGTTCCCCAAACTCCTTACTTTGTATTTGTATTATAAATGATAGGTGAGTAATGTTGCCCTGAAAACTTACAGAATCATCAGATGATAAATGATTATTTGGTTAGAAATTAAACGTGTAGAAATTATGAGAGATCTCAAATAATCATCCATTGTTATCAAAAGAATACATTCAATGTGTAAATTATGAAACAAAATAAGTAGCACTTTACACTCCTCAGGTTTAGGTTCAGGTCCCTTAAGTAAGAGAAATTTCTCTCAACAAAGAGCAGAATAACCTCTCAGTTCTGCTTATAAGAGATTACTTAAAATAATTTCCAACAATGTAGAAACTGAAGGTGTAGGGCAGCAGTCATGATCACACACTGCTGATAGGAGTATAAAATGGTACAACCTCTACACGAGACAGTGTATAATAAAATCACAAGTGCACACACTCTTTGAAATAGCAATTCCATTTCTTATAAAATATCTTACATACAAGGTATTTGTTGCAGCATTGTTTTGTGATAATATTAAGATGGGAAACAAGCTAAATGTTCAACAATAGAGGACTAGTTAAATAAGTTATTGCACATCTATACAAAATACTAGATGACTGTTTATAAGAATAAGGGAGCTCCTATGTACTGATATGGAATAGCCTTCAAATTATGGTAAGTGAAAAATGCAAGGTGCAGAAAGTATGCATGGTATACTTTGATTTATGTAAAAAAAAAAAAAAAAAAAAGGAGGGGGAGGGTATATATACAAAGGTCTGCCTGAACGTATAGATTATCTCCGGGAGGAAATGCACAGACACATCTCCTTAGGGCACATAAGATTTTACATTACACTGACTATTTATTCTGGTTCTTACTTTACAGCAGTGTGAGAAGATCTGACAGATGTACTCCTGGGTGTAGCGGGACTTGCTAAGCAGCGCCATGAGGTGTGGTATCACCGTAGCGTCCTGGAGTTGAAGGGAAGGAGAGCACAGCAATAAGGAACTTAGGCACGTGGAGCACATCTAATGAACTATTTCCAGGAGCAGGTATTTATGCAAGCCTCTTATCTTAATGACAGGAAGTCAGATCTGCTTAAGAAACACTGGAAAACAAAGCAACACAGCCACCAAAATTGTCTGGGCAAAGAATAAGGAAAAGGGCTTTAATGTTCATCATTGACAATAAAATACAAGAGTAGAAAATTCTCAATTTCTTTCGAATAAGCAACCTACATTCCCATAATAAAACAAAATCGTTTTAGTAAGCCTTGACAGAAATCTATTCTGAAACCCAAATGTGAGGTAAAGATATACAATAATAAATAGCTTATAAGGAGGAGTCCTATATAATAAAAGTATAATATGCAAATCAACTGAAAGGTGGAACGACTGGTCGCTATGATATGCACTGACCACCAGGGGCAGACGCTCAGTGCAGGAGCTGCCCCCTGGTGGTCAGTGTACTCCCACAGGGGGAGTGCTGTTCAGCTAAAAGCCGGGCTAATGGCTGGCAAGCGCAGTGGTGGTGGTAGGATGGCAGCGGCAAGAGCCTTTCCCGCCTCTGCTGCAGGTAGGCTAAGGAGCAAGGGGCCCCAGACTGTGAGAGGGCGCAGGCCAGACTGAGGGGACCTCCCCTCCCCCCAGTTATTGTATAAAAATAAAACTTGGCAATTATGATTTCTGAGATGTTATAAGTATCAGTAATCAGTAGCAATCTCTCACAATGACTATAGTAAAGTAATTCAATCTTTGCAATAGCAACTTCTCATTTATAGCGTATTCTCTCTCTATTGTTGATACTTAGCAACATACATGATGGTACAAAAGAGAGAAGAATCCACCCATCTTGCTGTAGGGCTCTCTCCAAAAATCTCCTTTTTCTCACAACGTGAAAGGAATTAAAAGTTGAAAGGAACCACAAATGGAAAGGCGACTATTACGCTCAAGCATCCTCGTCACTGCTGCCATGAATCCTAGAGTTCTGTGTCTCAAATAAGACTGTGCACGCAGACTCCCAGAAGATTCTCTTTGTGTGGACATTATGACTCTGTAGGTTTGGATTAGGACCCAAGATTTTGCATTCTAATTAGCTCCCAAATGAGGCCAATGCTGCTGGTCCATAGATCACACTTTGACAAAAGACAATAGAAGGCAAGGAAGAAAATTTAAAAGAAATACAGTGTGAGGAATAACAAGAATTGAGGTTTCTTTTAGGAAGAAAAGAATGCTCAAGATACATAAAAACTAAGTAGAAAAGAGAAGGCTGTGGTTCCCAAGTAGAATCTTTCCCTACTTCTTAGTATAATATAATCCTCTGTGTCATCACAAGCAGTTTAAAAACAAAATGAAAAACGTAGAAAACCTCAAAAAAGTCAAGTACTAAATGTATAGAAAAATGAGAGAAGATGGGGACTGAAGGGGAAGGGAAAACAGTGGCAGTAGACAGGAATGCAGATAGCAACTACGATAAATCAGGTAATCAAGAGGAATTTAAAAAACAACTCTATGAAAGCTCTTGAAAGATAAAAAAGCCTCTCTTAGGCTTCTAAATCCTCTATCTCCTTCCTTTCCTCCATTGCTCTCTTATCCCCCAGTTTTCCTGCATTTCTTCATACCTGCCCCCCTTTCTGCCAAGACTGTCACATATTTGCAGTTTATAGTTGAGTAAACATGCAATGAATAGTTACATAATTTGCTCACTGGATAAGTGAGATTTCAAACTAGACATCCTGCCCTCTTCCTATCTGACTGCTGTCTTCCGTTGAGTGCCTGAGTTGCGCGGCAGCTGGCCTCTTCACTGTCCCACACAACATTACACTCTGTCATCATCCTACCCGACACTTTTCACGGATTCTCCATTGTCTCTGAGGCACAAAACTGAGATGCTTCTTAATTTACATGTTTTTACTGTGAAAGTCAGGCAATGTCTCTGAGTCTTTTTTTTTTCTTTCATATTAGAAAGTTAAGTTGGCATTACTCAGAGTTTTCCAAATTGTGCACTATAATTCATTAGTGAGTTATGAAACCAGTTTAAAGTATGAGGAGGAAGGAGTTAAGACAGCTGGCCAGGATCCATTTCTCCCTCTATTACTGACTGGGTTGGGGGGTTGATGGGAAACTTCGAGGGCAGCAATTTTTAACCTTTTTCATCTCATGGCACACATAAAACACTAAAAATCCTGCGACACACCAAAAAATGCTATGTTTCCCCCTGATCTGACAAAAAAAAAAAAAAAAAAAAAAAAAAGAAGAAGAAGTTATAATTTTGATGCATTCACATTGGATGGCTATTGTGTTGACTGTTATCATTTTTTTTTTTTAATCTGAGGGAAAAGAGGCTGGTGCCCCTGACTAATCAGATATTGCATGTTTTAAAAATTCTTACAGCACACTGGTTGAAAATCACTGACCTAAATTAAAGAGGACTAGTGACTGGTTTAACCTCTTTGTAAATAAGACAATAGGACCTTAGGAAAACAGACTGATATCTACTAGGAGGAGAGCCCCGAGGAATGTTGTGAGGAGAATTGCCAGTTTAGGGACTGCTTATTGTGTCAGTTCAAAGAGTGCTCCAAGGACCAGCAGCATTTCAGTTACCTGGAAACTTGTTATAAATGCAAATTCTCAGGCCTCACCCCAGACTCAGTGAGTCAGAAACTTGAGGTAAGGTCCAGCAATCTGTATTTAACAAGACCTCCCGGCAATTGTGGAACATGCTCAAGTTTGAGAATCACTGCAGTGTACAATTTCCAGATTTATGAGGCATCGCTCCCTGAAGAATGTCACACAAATCTACAATTTACAATTTACAATTCAGATGTGTCATTCAGAGCCTCCCTGCTGTTCAAGGTGACTCACAAACCTCCTTTATGGTACTACTGGAGGGCCGGTGCACAGACTGTGCATCAGTGGGGTCCCTCGGCCCGGCCCGAGAGATGGGGCCAAAACCAGCTCTCCCACATCCCCTGAGGAGTCCCAGACTGTGAAAGGGTGCAGGGCAGGCCAAGGGAACTCACGGGTGCATGACTGGGGCTGGAGAGGGACGCAAGAGATTGGCCAGCAGTGGAGGGACCGGGGGAGGGCTCCAGGGCATGTCCAGCCGATCAGTCCCGATCAGCCTGACCCCAGCAGCAAGCTAACTTATTGGTCAGAGTGTCTGCTCCCTGGTAGTCAGTGCACATCATAGCAACTGATTAACCAGTCGACTGTCTGCCCCCTGATGGTGAGTCACATCATAACAAGTGGTTGAGTGGCCTTAGCATACATTAGCATATTATGTATGCTTTGGTTGGACAAACAACTGAGCAGTTAGCATATTAGGCTTTTATTATATTGGATATATTGTTACCAGCCAGGGGAACATGTGTCTGATATGGGAAGGACAGTTTATGAAGCCATGTGACATGTCTCCCCTCTCTGATTGTTTTGCCTCTTGATTGCTTATGTTTTTAAAATATTTGTAAAGCATGATTCTGGGCAAGATAGCTGATTCACATGCGTCCAATTTGGCATTCTGATTCTTTGTGTTGGCTCAGAATCACAACCAGCATATCTTTTCTTTAATGAAAAAGGATGTAATAGAAATCAGAGGGCTTCACATTTATGGAACTGTCATGTGGCAATAAAAAAATATATTTCTTATTGTGGATTGTGAATAGGAGTATTTGAAAATTATTGTCCTGGATAATTTTCATTAAGAAATCACCATGTAACCCACAAATAAAAACATCCCCTAATAATCCCTGAGGTTTGTTAAAACTACTGAATGACTCCAAAATCTTTGGATTCTCTCACACGAATTTTCTGTTCTAAATGGTAAATAAACCTTTTGCAAACTGATTCTGCTCCACCTCTCCAATTGAAACTAACACTGATACCCTTCCTGCATTAGACTATCCTGCCCACTATCCTGCATATTCTCTTACAGTTTCTCTCCTAGACTGGCCTCTTTACTCTCTAAATCTTATCCATTATTCAAGACCCAGGTCAAATTCTTGCTTCTCTATATAGTATTCTCTGCTGGATTTAACCTAGAATGAGCAGAACTCCCAGTCCCTCATTTAGCATTAAGTATACTGCCTTAATTTGTATATAGAAAGAGATCAAAATGGGTCTTAAAAAATAGCTTATAAATCCCTCAAGGTCTGAGACTATCTTTCACTTCTTTATAAAGCCTAGATTATTTGACATTTACAAATTAGCAAGAATTAGTACCGTATTTTTCGGACCATAAGACGCACTTTTTTCCCCCCAGAAGTGGGGGGAAAAAGTCCCTGCGTCTTATGGTCCAAATATAGCCTACACATATACTTTAAAAAAAAAAGTTTTTTTACTTGCCCGGCTCTGTGTGGTCTCTGTGTGCTTGCCCGGCTCTAAAATGGTTCTAAATGCTGTTTACTTTACAGGGTTGATTACATGTGTTTATGACTGTGATGTTGGGTTTTAATGCACATAAAATATTTTAGGGCACTATTTGTTTCAGAATCTTTTTTTCTTCATTTCCCTTCTCTAAAAACTGGTGCGTCTTATGGTCCAGAGCGTCTTATGGTCCAAAAAATACGGTACTTCTTGAGACCTTTTAATAATGCACACAGTTGAGTCTTGAGATGCTAAGTAGATTAGAAGTACGGCATCACTGAATGTAACTGATGATTAAAAACATCTAAAACTCACTGTATACAATAACTCCTCTGGAGTGACAGGACTGGTAAAGATGGTACGCAGACATCGAAGGCAAGCTTCAATGAACTTCAGGTCTAGAGATAACAGTCCTATTAACAGAAAATAGATTTAAGGTTCGTCTTTTCAGCCATATTTAGAACTACAAACTGATTCTTATTTTTACTTGTACAAGTATGACTTCTCTACATACCTTGCAGTAAGGCAGGGATGATATGGCAATCTAGCAGAGACTTGACATTGTTTTCAGTACCCATAGCAAGACTTCCCAATACCACTGCACATTCTGTTTTCAGCTCTGTACTTGAGGTTTCTTGCTGAAGCAAGTACAACAATCTAAAAAGAATAAATTTGATAAACAGAAGAGACTAAGAAACTTAAAAGTAAATTAGCTAAAAGTATTGTGATAAAAAAGACTACCAATACATCACACATACTAAAAATACTGTTGACAAGCTTATAGAGAATAGGAAATGGTTATTTGTTTTATCAGCTGATAATTTAACAAAGAAGTGTTTGGAAAAGAAAGCTAAAAGAGGTTTTATTCATTTTGAGCAAAAGAATGATCATATAATCTCTAGAGTTTATCAGAACTATAAATGTAAAAGTTGTCCAAAGTGATTGCTATAAAAACGGCAACATCACCGTCCCTGTTATCTGCCACTTCAGAATGAAGACAACCAGTGCCAAGTGCTGCTGGGTCTTACATTCAGACTCGATATGGACTTGAATAACCAGAGCTATAGCTCTGAGATCACAAAGGTTGAGCCCACAGGGAATATTCAGAATCCTTGTGCAGCTTTTCAAACAAGGGGACCTCTCTTTTTCTTCAATTCTCCCATTTGGGGAGTCAGGGGATTCTCCCATTTCCATTCCAGCTCATCCTTCCAAACAACTACTCTCCAAATTCTAATTATCCACCACTTATGACCATCTTCCTTATTCTAAGGAAGAACTCTCACACTCCCTAAAGCATATTTTACATATGCTTTTATTGATTTTTAGAGAGAGGAGGGAAGGATAGAGAGAAATATCAATGAAAGAGAAACATGCCTGCCTCCTGCAAGCCACCTACAGGGGATTGAGCCTGCAACCTGGGCATGTGCCCTGACTAGGAATGGACTGACGACCTTTTGGTTTATGTGTCAATGCTCAACCACTGAGCAACACTGGCCATGCCCTAAAGCATATTTACATCCTGGACACTAATCCTCTAAAAAGGCTACTGAGTGCTTTATGGTTACTAAAGTATATATTTGAAGTTGGTTATGATAAAAACAATACATCCATTAATCCTATATCAAAAGATAACAGAAAAAAACAAAACATTTAAAAATTCTGAATGAAAAACTTATAGCAACTGCACAAAAAACTTAGTTCTGAGTAGTAGCAGCAAATCAAAAGTTATACAACTGAAATTATCTGCCAAAAGGAAGCTTATTAGGTTATCAGAAGAATTCAAACTTTCTGTTAACTTAAAAAACAGAATTTCAAAAATTAGAAATTAAATACAGAAAAGTAGAACTAAAGACCAACCAGGTCTCTCTCTCTCTCTTTCTTTTTAATTCAAAAACAGATTTTAAAATCCTGAGAAATTGTTATCCATTCATAAAACAAACAAACAAACAAACAAACAACAACAACAAAAAACCTGCCAGGGCTCTAGACTGGGAAGAATGAATCAGGCTGGTATACATTGCCTTTCTATCCAACAGTCTTTTATTGCAGGGTCAATGATCTTCCTGAATTTCTAAAAAGTATTCATACATTCACTTCACTGCCCATTCTCTGGTATTTTAATTTGTTTTGTTTTTTACAGATGCTTCAAAGAACTCATAGCATTAATTAAGAAAATTAAGATGCTTTTAAGAAATACAGAAAAAAATATTAGTCTTACGGTTGAGAATGAGAAACACATTAGAATGAGTATGAATAGCAGAAAAAGGAATAACAAACATACCTTGGAACAGCTCCTAAAACAATGAGGTTGGCTTTCTGCTTGTTGTTTCCAATTACAGCATTTTTCATGTCTCTGAAATCAGGGGTAGAGAAAAGGGTATAATATGTTGAAATATCCTATATAACAAGAGGGTAATTGCAAATTGACCCTAAAGGCAGACTGACCTGGAACAGACTGGTCGTTATGATGTGCACTGACCACCAGGGGACAGACATTAAATACGGATCAGCTTCAGTGGTCAATGTGCTCCCACAGGAGGAGCTCAGCTCAGCCACCAGCCAGGTTGAGGGACTCCCCCGACCCCCCACCCCCGAGTGCATGGGTTTTCATGCAATGGACCTCTAGTCATGGAATAAAAATCAAAGATCAATTCTTCCACTTGATCTCTATTAAGCCATATCTTGGATTGGCAAGTACAGAAGTTAGTGACAAAGTCAATGCACTGACCCGTTTCCCCCTAAAACGCCAAAGAGAAGGGACAGAAATAGGTGCTGAGTGAACGTGAGGGCTGTAAAACAGGACAGTAGTGGGAAGTGGGAGATACCCTGAGTACTGGCAAAAGACTCCCAATAGTAAATGCTGAGTTCTTCAAAAAAGGCCACCAAACCTTTGAATATAAAGAAATATAGATCACCTTCTCACATCTGGGAGTAGAAAACAAAAGCAACCAGCCCACAGAACATACCTGGCCTAGTTTCAGGAAGAATGACTTTGTTTATTCTTTTTTCTGAATTATTTTGGACTGAATATTTCTTATTATTCTATTTTGTCTCCTTTACTATCTTATTAGCTGTACCTCTTTGGGCTTTGATCTGTTGTTTTTTAGTGGTTGCTTTGCAACCTATAATGCACACGTTTCAAGGGATATTATGCCCATTCATGTGTATTGTAAGAGCACTGCAAAAACTTAAACTTCTCCATCCATTCTTTAAGCTGCTACTGTCACACGTTTTTGTTTGTTTGTTTTTAATATATTTTATTGATTTTTTACAGAGAGGAAGGGAGAGGGACAGAGAGCTAGAAACACTGATGAGAGAAGCATCAACCAGCTGCCTCCTGCACAACCCCCACTGGGGATGTGCCTGCAACCAAGGTACATGCCCCTGATCGGAATCTAACCTGGGACCCTTCAGTCCGCAGGCCGACACTCTATCCTCTGAGCCAAACCAGTTTCGGCACATGTTTTATTTTTAAATTAATTAGAAACAATAGAATATATCGTTACTATGTTTGTTTAAGCAACCAATTATCTTTTAAAGATATTTAAAAGTAAATGTTTTATATTTCTTACATATCCACCAGTAATTTTTATTCTAGTTAAACACATATCTTTACTTCACTAGGAATACAACTGTATTGATAGAATATCTCTATCAATAACCAATTGGTTCACAAACATGAGGTTCGTCCCAAAGGACAGGGGGGGGAAAAGCTCAAAATAAACCTGCTACCACTAATAAAATGTTTAATAAAAATACTCTGGTCAGTAGCCCTATTTAATATAGGAAAACTATGAGATCTACATAGCAGTAGTTCTCAAAGAGGGAAAGAAGGCATTACAGTCCCCTACAGGCATTTCAAAAGTTTGAGGTTTCTAAAAATTTCTGGTCATAGTTTTACAAATAGGAAGCATTTTTTGTAGTTTTAAAAAATATATATAATTTTCAGTATTATACCTGCCCTATAAGTAAGAGGAAGATTGTACTTTTTGTTAGGAGTTATTTCATTTTGGAAAATCAGGTCACTAGCACACTGGCACTCATGGTATTTGAGTCATCAATACCATACACCTGTATGAGTCCACATTTGTAGCCCTTGCATTCACACTGCTTTATTAAGTTTTCTAACATAGTCGCACGTAAGCATTTACATATTGAGACATTAGAAATTACCTTCTTTTTTATTTCTCCTTTATATTATATGGAGGGAAGGTGTTATTTTTAGAGTTATGTATGTGAGTTGGTTATATTATGGATTTAATATCAGCATAGTACAGGGGATGTTACAAAACATTTATAAGGGGAAGTCAGGTCCGATAGATTTCAGGCCATTGCTTATAGAGCCTCAGAGTTCTTAGCTCACCCGTTTCTTTCTCCCCCTAAATAAGCTCCCCTACATACTTGACCAGCATCTCTTTAGACTTTCCCTCTTCCAGGTGGCAGAACTCTACAACATACAGGAATTTTTTGTCAACACTGAAAGTCATAATCCTGAAAAAGTTCTATAGTTGGCAAACCATTATCTTGTAGAAAAGCAGAGTAGAAAACAGAAGGGGAGGAAAGTTACTTAAAAAAACATTAACTGTTACATTCAGCATGTATTTCCGATACCAACCAAATTCACTGGCATTTAGAGCCCTAGTAAGAATTATAATATCCTTTTCCTCCATTGCCTTCTTTGATTATTGCAGAAAAACACTACTATGGCATAGTGCTCTGCTAAAAGCTTGAGCCAAACACTGTGCGTCTGCCCAGTCTTCTTGCATTAGCTCGGTGCCTAATTTTCAGGGTCTGATCTGTCTCTCTGTGAACTATTAGTCAGATCTTCCATTTGGTTCACAGGGTATATATTAGTATTATTTACTTACCAAGGTTCTTACCAAGTTCTGATACTTAATTTTAAAACTACGTGATTTCAAAGCCTCATTTAGCAAAACAGAGTTGTGAGACTGGACACCCAGGCTCCTGCCTCCTTGAGGATGCCTGCAGTTTTCTTAAGCTTATTTCAAAATCATCAGCTTACAGACCAAACGTAGCAGTTTGCCATTGGCTCGCATCTCCTTTCCTTCTCTGTCTTCTGCCTATACCGATGCGGCACACTCATGTGCCCAGGGCCTGTCTATCGGTGCCATTCCGGATGCTCTCTTTCTTACGGAACTCCCAACCGTAACATTTCCCTAGATGTCTCCCCATTCTTCCTAAACTAAGCAGAAATGAGGTATCCCCACATTACCATATAAACACACTCCAAATATCTGAAACCATGTCAGAGTGAATGTTTTTAGAAAAACAAACAAAACCCCTTCCAGCTGTCCAAGTACTCCTAAAAGTTTGCAAAAAGGACACGGAGGAGCCAGCTCTAATCAGTAAAATATGCCTATGCTAGATAAGGAAGAAGAGATGCTAATGCCTTCTATTAAGGCAAATAAATTCTATTCAGCTATTGCTATAAAGGGATGCTATAATTTCTATAAAAGAGTTAAAACAAAACAAAACAAAAAAGACAATAATTATCACCTTACCTATCTTTAGCAGACCTAAGTACAGTGTAGGATCCCATTTCAGAGCCAGAGTCAGCCAGATGAAGTTTCTTGTTCCCAATAACAGCTATTCTCTCATCTCATCCCCTCCCTCACAACTTTAATTCTTTCCCCGGCTAACTACTCACTTTCCAGGGCTACACTCTGATGTCATGTTGCTTCCTCCAAGAAGCATGACCTGACAACTCCCAGGTATGGGTTAGATGGCCCCCCCAGGTACCCTCTATCATAACACACTCAATACTTTTTAGGATAGAAATCTGTCTCATAAGAGGCAATAAAGCCAGCCTGACCTGGAACTATCAGAGAAGTTACTATCAGTAGGCCATAAAATGTACCATATAGAAATCCATATTTTTGTAAAATGCAAACTCGTAACTATCATCTAACATGGAAACACAACAAAACTATCCAAGGTTTATATACTGCTTTGAAGTTTACAAAGCATTCCATAGCCATATTTAATATTCAACACAACCTTGAGTTAGATTAACACCACTTTACAGATGAGGAAGCTAGACTCAGGTTTGGGGATTTTCTCAGAGCTCCACATTAAACGAGAGAGCTGGTATCAACCTACATACATATTTTTTTGTTAATTCTCACCCAAGTATATTTTCCCATTGATTTTTAGAGAGAGTGGAAGGGAGGGGAAGAGACAGAGAGAAACATTGATGTGAGAGAAACACATTGGTTGGTTGCCTCCCACACATGCCCAAACCAAAGCCTGGATGGAACCTGTAACTGAGAGATACATCCCTTGACTGGCAATCAAAACTGGGACTCTTTAGTTCACATGCTGATGCTCACTTTAAAGACAGATTTAATACCACATTTTCTGACAATAATCAACTAGCCTAAAAGGGACTGATGAAATCATTATAAAGTCTCCTAGTTAAGGGGACAAAAGCACAGTTAACACAATGAGAAAACAAATACCATCTCCTATTTCTGTAAACTGAGAAGATACGGTGTCAAGTATCCCAGGTGGCTCTCCATCCAGCTCCTAACTTTCCCTTCCACATTCTCAAGACATCCCCTCTACAATGTCTTGAGGGCTGAGAGGTAGAAGAGAGGTTGGGGCTGAAAAAGAATTGCAGTCAGTAGCCTTGCCAAGGCCGAGCAAGTTAAACTGAAGGCACTATTGGCTGATAACACTAGCAGGGTAAGAGAAGAAGAAAGGGACTCATTTGTGCCTTTGCTACTATCCCAAATGTGTCTCATCCTGACCCGTGTTTGTGTCCTCCTTCCCCTGGACACAGGTCAGGCCTGCAGGTGCTTTGAGGTTCCCTTAGGCTACACCTTATCGCTTAGAACTATGGTGTTAAGCGCATGATAACCTGCGCTTTGGAGAATTCTGTCTTTCAATCAGTTACAATGTTATCACACTTGTCCCAATTAATTTTTGGAAGCATAATCACTTCAGGTATGTTGTTTAAAAATACTTCCTCTCATTAAACATGGAATTTTAGGTAAAAGAAGGGCATTTACAAGAGTTCATTTAAATTGCAAATGACTGCTTTCTAAATTCTGATATTTAAAACATCACTAGGGTATTAGAACCTTAGAGTCAATTGAGTTAACCAAAATCAAAACAAACAGGAAATCCTCTGAGCTATTCTCCTAACCCTTTTCAATTATAAAAGGTCATCAATTTTATTCTCTTGCTTTTGCTGGAGATTAAAGTCACAAAAGCATTCTCCAGCGGAACATCCTTTAAAATGTAAAACAAGTATCCTATAAAAAAATGAAGCTAGCCATGTCGGTTAACTATACAATAGACAATTCTTTAACAGTACAATATTAAAGTCATGACTATTAAGGGAACTTTCCAATATGGCAGAAAAAAAGCTGTAACTCTGCATTTTCAGAATTATAATATTTATTTGGCAGATTCAAACATGAAAACAAACAAGACTTGATAGACTCTTAAATACATACTACTTACATGACACCTTGTAGAACTTTCTGGGGATCAGGGTCAAATAGCCTGTCAACATAGTGGCGACTGCTAGCTGTTACTTCCTAGAAAGTGGGGGGAAAAATTATGACATCTGAAGCCATGCAAATCACAAATTCACAGCATCACCCACAATATCAAATAGCTATATAATCTAACTTAAGGTAAGTGCATTAGAATGTCTACAAAATGCCCATTATATTAAATCATTCTGAGAAAAGTTGTGACAAGATAAATACAGATGAGGAAGAAGATAGCTGGTTCTCATTGAAAACATAACTAGACAGTAGGACCTTTGTGCTAAGCCCTACAAGTTTTGACAACAGAAGTACTGGGCATTAAGAAGCAGTTAAGCTTCTTAAGTAGCTGTTGGATGTCACTATGTATGAAAAAGAGATAGGGACATTGCTTCTCTTTAGTGCTCACTAAAGGGAAAGAAAACCTGGCTCTCAGCAAGGAAAAGGGGTAGCCTAGGTGCAAGAGAAAGTCCCTCAGATTGATGTACAGTAGCTACACTGCTAGAATGCAGACATATGCAAAAATATAAACTAAAACAAAGGAGTTGTCACTTTGTGTGAGGGGGACAATAATTAGGAATTAGAGTGATTTTTAGGTCCAAGACAGTTAGCTAGGCTGAAATGGCTGAAGCTGGATATAAGGGGGAGAGTTAGCACATAAAGAGCAGGAGGAGACACTTACCTCCTTTTATTTGTATCATGGGGCTTGCTCTATTATGTTGTTTCTTACATATAATAGTAATTTTTTTTACATTTAACTCTCAATACTTAACGTTATTTAAAACAAAGAGCATTCTTAATTATCAGTTTAAGGACCAAAGAAAAAACATTTCTGTCCCTTGCTTTTTCTTTCTGATGCCTGCTGAAATATACTCATGTACCCATTAGTAATAAATTATTATAGAGATGAGTAAATACTTCTCAAATTTACCCAGAACGCAGATCAGTAAAGAGTTCACTGCCAATACACAGTGCCAGCTTAAGCTTCTGAGTCAGCAAAAGTAACTGAAGAAAAACTATATAAGTTCTACTTTCCTGACAATACAGTTAATAAATTAAAAAATCAAAGCATATTTTCATATTATGAGTTTGCAAGCAAAATATACTCACAGGCAGCTCAAGTGCCCACTTTAAAATGTACTCCATTTATAAAGAACGAAGCCAGAGGTATATCACATTACCTGACTTCAAATTACACTACAGAGTTACAATAATCAAAACAGCATGGTATTGGCAGAAGAACAGACACATAGACCAATGGAATAGAATTGAGAACTCAGAAATAAAAGCACATTTATTTGGCAAACAATTTTTTAATAAAGGAGCAAAAAACACACAATGCAGAAAAGAAAGCCTCTTCAATTAATGATGCTGGAAGAATTGGAATGCCACATGCAAAAGAATGAAACCAGATTATAGTTTGTCCCCTTGTACAAAAATGAATTCAAAATGGATCAAAGAGCTAAATATAAGATCTGAAACAATAAAATCCACAGAAGAAAACATATGTACTAAACTTATGGACCTGAGTTGTAGAGAACATTTGGATTTGACCCCAAAGGCAAGGGGAAGTAAAGGCAGGACCATATCAAACTAAAAAGCTTCTGCATGGCAAAATAAACCAACAACAAAGCAAAAGGGCAACCAATGGGATGGGAGATGATATTTGCAAACAACAGCACTGACATTGGGCATTGATACCCAAAATATATAAAGAACTCATACAGCCCTACATAGTTTGACTCAATGGAATGAGTGTCAACCTGCAGATTGAAGAGTCCAGGGTTTGATTCCAGTAAAGGGCATATGCCCAGGTTGTGGGCATGCAGGACACAGCCATCCACTGTTTCTCTTTCATGTCAATGATTCTCTTTCTTTCCTTCTCCCTCTAAAATAAATACAAAGACATATCCTATCCTATATAATAAAAGCCCAGCGACCAAATGGCAGATGTCCAGAACAATTGGTCGACCAGCTGCTATGATGTGCACCGACTACTGGGGGCAGATGCTCAACACAGGAGCTGCCCTCTAGTGGTCAGTGTGCTCCCACAGTGGGAGTGTTGCTCGGCTGACCGGTTTGAGCAGCTGCTCCCACTGTGAACTCAAACTCTGGGCAGACGGGCAGGAACGGGGCTGTGATCATTGATTGCCTCCTCATCCCAGGCTCCTTCTCCTGGCTCCCTGCCCCTCCTCCGACACCCCCAGGCCACACAGCGCTGCCGCTGCAAGGCTCACAGAGCTGACCCCGGAGGCTGGGAGGCAGGTTCCTGGCCGCCATGGGACTGAGGCCTACTCCACCGCATCTCAGTGCTCTTGTCCCTGGGCTCAGCCCCAACCGGGTCCCCTGGGGAGGCACGTGCTCCAGCTCCACGGAAGATGCCAGACCGGGAGAGGTGTTCAGAAGGCGGTCCACCACCACGTGGCAGACTGGAATGAGCGGCTCCCACAGTGGGCCTGTCCCCGCAGGCCACGTCCCCCACCAGGGCACATCCCATGCACTGGGCCTCTAGTTTTAAAAGTTTATCTTTGATTTTATAGCTCCTGTCCACACACTCTCCCACAGCTTCTACATCTCTTGCTTCTCCATGTGGTTTTTAAAAAGGTAGTTGAGTTTAAGATCTGTATGTTAAACAACATAAATTGTTCCCATTAGTAGCAATTTTCTTTACTGTTCTGAGTAGCTACTATATGTAAGGCACTGAGGAAGTAATTAAAGATTTAAAAAATATTTAGTAAGGCACCATCTCTGACCTCAATAATGCATATTCTATTGTAATCATGTTTACATACTTTATATCCGCTACTTGAATACAAACATGAAGGCAGCACTGAGGAGGGAATTAATAAACCAGGAGAATCAGTGAAGACTTCTTAGAGTTGTTTTGGAAAACGAGTAAGAGTGCACAAGAATGGGCAAAGAAAGAAAGAATCAGTGTCATAATCACAGTAATGGTGCAAGTGAAGCCAACACCCATATACCAGGTATACTAGGAGCTGGCACTGGAAGGGGGGAGGGGGGAGGGTACAGCAGTGACCACTGAATGTAAAACACAAAGAGCTAACCAACAGGTGACCATAACTGCAGAGCTCAGATAGGCTCTTGTTTTAAGTTCTATGCTAGGTGCTAAAGAAGACAGAAGAGAATGCTATGGCAAAGCCTTGTACTTAAGAAGCTTACACTCTGTAAGGTCAGTCCTGTAGACAAAAATAATCCCCTCTGAGCTGCCTAGGTTTTAGTAAGCTGAGGCGATATAGTCACTTACTGACTTTTATTTTACTTGGTGCTTTTGTCTGTAACATATTCATTCATTTGTCTGTCTATTTAGAACAATTCCTAATTTCACTGCTTTCTTAGGTCACCTCTTCCCTCCCAGCCCTCTTTTCTCTTCTTTCAAAAGACAGCCTGGAAATATAAGAATTTGAGAGAGAAGGCAATTGGTACAGATATTAAATAGGTTAGTGTGGAAAAGCTTCTCTAAGAAGGTGACATATGGGCCTTCCTTCTGCTCTTCCTCTGTCTCCAAGGGCCATTTCTTCTCCAGCTCACTTTTAACTACCTCTGTAACTTTCTAAGTAAACTTCCTCTTGTAATTTGAAAAAAAGAGAAGGAAATATATGAACAAAGACCTGAAGAAGGTAGAGGAGTAAGTCATGCAGCTATCTGGGAGCAAAGCTTTTTAGGCAAAGAGAAGAACAAATGCAAAGGCTCTGAAATGGGAAGTGTCTGCTCTGCTCAAACAACAGGCCATCACAGCTGGAGCAGAACGAGCCCAGGAGAAAGCAGAGGAGACAGTTCAGAGAAGAGGGGCCAGATGGTGAAGAACATGTTGTCCAATATAATCACCACTAGCCTCCTATGGCTAATGAGCATTTGAAATATGGCTAGGTATTGAACTTAAAATTTAACTGTAATTAATTAAAATTTAAAAACCAATTCAGGATCTTTCCAGGTGGCACCAAGCCATGGGCATCTCTCGGGACAATTGGCATAAGCGCTGCACTACTGGGGGCAAGAGAAAACCCTATCACAGAAGCAAAAATATGAGCTGGGACACCCTGCTGCCAACTCTAAGACTGGCCCATGCCGCAGACACAATATGTGTGTGGGGACGCAACCAGAGGTACCGTGCCTTGGGGTTGGACACGGACACCTTCTCCTGGGGCGTGGAGTATTGTACGCTCAAAGATACTGCTGCTGTCTACAGTGCATCAACAACAAACTGGTCCACAGCATGCCCCTAGTAAAGAACCGATTGAACTCACTGACAGAACACCATACAGACTATGCACTGCCAAGCTGATTCCTGAGGAGGAAGAGACTTTAAACAAAAAGCGATCTAAGAAAATTCAGATGAAATATGATGAAAATAAAGAGAATGCCAAAATCAGCAGTTTTCTTGCATGCTTAGATTCAAGACCAGGCCAACGTGGCCGAGCAGATGGCTGCGGGCTAGAGGGCAAGGACCTGGAGTTCTAGGTGAGGCAAATTAAGACCCAGGAAGGCAAATATATCCTCTTCCCTCCAATCTTAGTTCATGTAAACTAGGTGTGTATTGTTCCAAAAAACAAACACAAATCCAACACTATGTTCAGTTATTAGAAAACTTTTAAAAGTGTTTAGAACTACGTGGGTATGCAATCTACTTTTTCAAGTATAAATTTTATGAAACCTATATACCAAACATGTATTTCCAAATTGTGTAAAATACACATCAGGTTTTGAAGACTTGCTATAAAAAAGCAAAATAATTTCACCAATAATTCCTCACATCAATTACATGTTGAAGTACTACTTTACTATATTGGTTTAAATAAGATATATTAAAATTAATTTCTTACACTTTTCTTCTTACTTTTCAGCATGGCTACTAGAAAATTTAAAATTATGTGTGTGGCTTGCATTGTTTTTCCACTGCACATCACTGGAATAGGGCTTTGTTTGTCATTATAAAAATTTTTATTTTTATGATATGTGTTGGAAAGCAATTCGAGTTTTGGGAAAGTAGAGACATGATCTAAACTTGTTTTATTTTATTTTTTTATTTT